AACTAATTCACTCAACCGCACACACAAAGAACAAACTAATTCACTCAACTACATATACAAAGGACAAATTAATTAATTCAACTACACACACAAAGGATAAACTAATTAAATCAACCACACACAAAAGAGAAACTAATTAAACCAACCACACACACAAAGGACAGACTAATTAATCCAATCACACACACAAAGGACAAACTAATTAGACCAACCACACACACAAAGGACAAACCACACACACAAAGGACAGACTAATTAATCCAATCACACACACAAAGGACAAACTAATTAGACCAACCACACACACAAAGGACAAACTAATTAAACCAACCACACACACAAAGGACAAACTAATTAGATCAACAACACACACAAATTAAACCAACCACAAAGGACAAACTAATTAAATCAACCACACACACAAAAGACAAACTAATTAAACCAACCACACACACAAAAGACAAATTAATTAATCCAACCACACACACAAAGGACAAACTTATTAAACCAACCACACACACAAAGGATAAACTAATTAATCCAACCACACACACAAAAAACAAACTAATTAATCCAACCATACACACAAAGGACAAACTTATTAAACCAACTACACACACAAAGGACAAACTAATTAATCCAACCACACACACAAAAGACAAACCAATTAATCCAACCACACACACAAAGGACAAACTAATTAAACCAACCACACACACAAAGGACAAAACTAATTAAACCAACCACACACACAAAGGACAAACTAATTAAACCAACCACACACACAAAGAACAAACTAATTAAATCAACCACACACACAAAAGACAAACTAATTAAACCAACCACACACACAAAGGACAAACTAATTAAACCAACCACACACACAAAGGACAAACTAATTAAACCAACCACAAAGGACAAACTAATTAAACCAACCACACACACAAAGGACAAACTAATTAACCCAACAACACACAAAGGACAAACTAATTAAACCAACCACACACACAAAGGACAATCTAATTAAACCAACCACACACACAAAGGACAAACTAATTAAACCAACCACACACACAAAGGACAAACTAATTAAACCAACCACACACACAAAGGACAAACTAATTAAACCAACCACACACACAAAGGACAATCTAATTAAACCAACCACACACACAAAGGACTAACTAATTCACTCAACCACACACACAAAGGACTAACTAATTCACTCAACCACACACACAAAGGACAAACTAATTCACTCAACCACACACACAAAGGACAAACTAATTAAACCAACCACACACACAAACAACAAACTAATTAAACCAACCACACACACAAACAACAAACTAATTAAACCAACCACACACACAGGACAAAGTAAATAAACCAACCACACACACAAAGCACAAACTAATTCACCCAACCATAGACACAGTCGGGTTACTTAATCCCCTGAAACTGCTAGGGGATAAAAAAAGAGAGACTTCAAATTTGAATTTTTGGTCATTTCATTTGTTAAAATTCATTACATTGCTTATTTATTTTTCTAACTTGGTCTCTGAATAAAGACGATGAATAATTCTGTCAATAATTCTATTAATAACAAGAATGTGCATAACTGATCTCAACAGTCAACAAATACAACTGCAAATCTGTTGATCAATAAAAAAAAAAGGCCAGATGATTAAAAACATTTTAATGTTTGTCAATTAATATAAAATAACACTCTTTGAGGTACAGCCTCTAATGTCAGTCATTCATGCACTATTACAGTCTGTTGGGTTGATAAATTTTATCTAGAACATGTTTACAATTGGACTACTCTGGCTGCCTTACTGTACATCAAAAAGATAAACTTAAATAAGTTGTAGTGTGAAGAGTTCCGTTGTTTGATACTAATTTGTACATGTACCAATGTGTAAACTGTATTATTATAGTATATACTTTCAAACAAGCATGAAACCATTATTATTAATTTTAATAAACATAGTTAAATAACTTCAAGAATAAATGAATTGATTAAGTCTAAAATTAAGAATATTTGTGGATTTCAGATTTGCACACAGCGTCAACAAGAAACATTAGTTCATATATTAGTATCTCGATCATGCTTCACTGGCAGCCTCCACAGATATATATGAACAGTAAGAAGTTTCTCAAGACTGAAGTCAATAACATGTTTGTTTACTGTAACTTCGTAACTAATGTATACAGTGTATTCCTTTTTTATTCCAAATAAAAATTGATACATTATAGCTATTTCAAATTTTAGAAATAAGTGCTTTAATCATTGACTAGGGAGTTCTTACTATCACAGGAGAAAGATAACCTGACACGATTTCTTAAGCCTAAAAAACTAAAAAAAAATATTATAGATTATTATTTTAAGCACAAATGATATATAGCAGATCTTGATTTTTTTTTTTTTTTATAGATATTATCATACCTTTGAATTGGTGCTTTCCTGAATATTCTAAATGTAATATAACATTTAACTTTATATTTGATTCACTGGAAGCTCTTTTTTACCAAACAAGATACAATAGTAAACAGAATGCAGCCAAATGTAACATATTTACGGTATTTTGTAAGTATTTAGTGTCATCTCTTCATTACACTAAAGTGTGCACAGAATTCAAAAGACCTTCAAAGTATAATAGTTGCACACTGAAGCTAATATAGTAAACACAATGAATTCTGTTTGGTTTTACATTGCAAGCATTATTATTACCAATGTAGATTCATGTCAATTATTGATTGTGTCTTATGATGAAAGACAATGCAATTTCTATGCATACAAACCCTGTAAAACATTTTCAAAAGAAAATATTTCTTATATATATCTTAATTTGACATACATCCATTATATTAAGCTCTGAATATATGTATGTGCTAAAAGTACACCTGTATCAAATCTTAATTATTAAAAAAAAATGAATGATTTTAGTTTTTCATACATGTATACATTACACTGTCCTGCATTTCGTATCTCTCATTCTAATATCTTACATACAAAATATTAATATGAGACTTTACAATAAAAGGTCTTACTAATTTTGTATTGATAGTAGGCATATTGAAATGGCATGCAATTACATGCTTTATTATCATATTAATAATCAATATTCAAAAATTGCTCTTTTAAACAAGCACACAAAATGATTCATGACTTGAATCCATCAAATTGTTTGTGTATAAAAACCACCTCTATTTAATGCAATGCATTAGTCAGTAAATGACTGAAAACAAATGTCCCTGCTAGATGACCAGCATATAGCATATTAGTATTACAGGATGCCTATGCTTAGTACAGTTAGTGGATTATAACATGGCACAGTAATCTTCAATACATACATCTTTGTGTAAAAAATGAAACAGGTTAGAAGTTATAATACAAAAACAGGTGAAGTGATGTTACTGTGGGAATATGTAGGCATGATCAGGAAACCTTGAACTGTATAACATTAATTGCAATATTGATTGGCCTATTCACTGCATTCTCTGTCCAAGATGTAATGGCAAGCAAAAGAATGCATATTTTTTAAGGTGCAGAATTTTTAGTTTTATCAAATACTAATAGATTAAGATATCAATTTCAACTTTCATTTTTAGACTTTTTGAATGAATATTAATAAATTAGATAGATACCATTCCTAGCTTAGGATCAAATTATCTTGATACATGTTCCTTAAATTTATTTCATCAAAGCCCCAATAGTTTAAACCCTTTTAAGAAGATCTGAGTTGCAACTATAAACAAGATGTAGACTTAAATTTGTTCGTGAAGAAAAATTATCAACAGATAAATGTAGATTATTGTTTCCATTCATTATAATTGTCTCAAGGCAATGCATTCCATACACATAAGGGGCACGAGACCTCAATCCATGCATGTAAAAATGACAGTGTGAAGCATGCTGGTATTTATAAAGGAACAAGTAAAATAATGTACACCCAAACAACAGACATATGAAATCTTTAGGGACATACTCCTTTAGGATACAGACATCTGCATTCAGGTTATAAACTTTCAGCAGTAAAAAAGAGAAACCTGATAGGAAACAAGTATAGATACACATAAAAAATCAGCAGTTGATAGCATTTATTAAAACACAGGATAACTGTGTAATAGTGTTTCTACATTGATTGTTAACAACTCTTATTCAGAAGAAAAAAAAAACTTAAAAACAAATAAATAAAAACAACTGAGACAAAAAAAGCGCAGATCAGATCTCCTTCTTGGTCATATTCAACAACACATAAAATACTGATTTTCAACATATCTAAGCTGTGTATTATGGAGCACTTGATTACAAGAAATGTCATGATTGATCACAAACAAAAAATGAAAAAAATGTAGCTAAGAAATATTATGGCTGCATTACAATATAAATCAATATTAATTTTGTTAGACAAAAGACACATGTATAGCACCAATGGTTAACTTCAATAGAGACTCAATGGTAAATTTGTAGAGCTGCAAAATTATGGCTTAAATTCAACATTGTAGTTCACCTTGTCTTGAATCACGTTGTCTACCAGTAACTGGATTTTATTGTACACAGTATTATATAAATTTATAATATAAACTCACACAGAGGTGTCTCTATAGCATTCTTATGGTAAATCTTGAATCCTTTTTAAAAGACATAAACGTAAGCAAATGTACTTTATTTGCTACTTATAGTATTATCTTCCTTAACAATCAATTTAAAAGATATATACTACTTACTTATGCTATAAATAAGAATAAATGTGCACAAGCCATCTAAATCTCTATGGCCAATTCATCTACTCTATTACCAGTAAGTTTTTCTAATCTAATAACAAAAGTCCAAGCCATTTAAAAGCCATGATACATGCAAATAGTACAATAAAAAAATCTACATCACATGTTTTCCAGCACAGTATAGAATGAGAAAGCACAAAACATTTCATAAAAATTCCAATTCAGTAGCACTAATATTCTTAATTAATACAAACAGCCATATATTACTATGGAGAGCAATAGCAATTAACAGACAAGTATTGTCTTTGTAATTCAAATGTTCAGAAGACCTAATACTTCATTAATAGATCTTTGTAATTTTTAAGCTTCTTTAACTGCTTCTTTAATTCTTTGACAAAATCTTCCGGCTGGACAACGATGGAGATATCCCTTCCAACAGCATTCAACAGATGATCAATCTACAATTAATAGAAAGGATTCAACAGATGATCAATCTACAAGTAACAGAAAGGATTGTCATGTAATGTTAGGATAATTTAAATATTTATTTTTTCATTTGTGAAGTTTGTCTGATGCAAATTCAAACAATCATGCTTATAATGAAATATATCCTGAACTGCAATTTGTAATACAAAGCCAAACATGTACTAGGATATTCTCTTAGTTTCATCTATATTAACTATTATCTATCTTTATGCATTAATTTATTGAATTTAGTCTGATTCACAACATTTTAAAAATAACAGAATTGTTTTAAAGTGCATGCGTGCATTCCTTGCTTCTGATTTCATGCACTCTAAAAATCAAAATCAATTCACCATGCCCTCTCCCGATTGACAGACCTCATTCCCCTTAAAAGACAGGTCGAGGGGGCGGCTGTTGATCTCAGTCAGACACCAGTAGCAGAAATCACTGCCCACGAGCACCGAGCGTGCCCGCTGCTGGAGTCCATGGTGAGCTGCCAGACCATTAGGATCCACGTACACGATCTGATAAAGTCAATCTCGCAGTGAGTCTCAAAAGATTCTACTATGATTAGCTATTTACACAGTTCAAAACAAGAAGTAACAAAATCAAAACATTTATTAAAGGTTATTTGAGTAAATGATTTCAGAAAACTGCTTCTGATGTGTTTTGTATGTAAAGCTTTAATTGATGCCTAGATAGTTTGAACAATCCTATTGGTTACCTTTGATGTTCCGCCCTCCCTCTGGATTCCTATTGGTTGTTTGTTTTCCTGTCGGTGAATGGCTATAACCTGAGCGTACGGCAGTCTGTGTACCGTCATGGTGACAGTCTCCTCACCACTTTTGTACATTCTCTGAGCGTCCGCGCTGTTTTTGACTTTTTTGTCGTTAATTTTCAGTAATTGATCTCCGATGTGTAATTTGTCATTCAGTCGAGGACAAGTCTTCATATCCCATCCTGCCACCCTATTAATGAAAATTAGAAAAAATTATAAATCGGTATCTCCCTCATAAGAAAGCAACATAATGAATTCTGACTCGTTGTTAAATGTTAAATCTTAAATTAACTCAATTTCTGTTTAATCCATGGGTAGAAAATAGAAAAGCATTTTATCAAATTTTTTTGACCGCGTATATAGCGTAAATTAATCGGAAAAAAAATATAGAAAGAGAACAAAAATATCATTTTAATTTCAGAAACTTTGACATTATCAGGCTGTTAGTTTTTGGAATGATATTTTTGAAATTTCATATGATTCTATGAAAAATTGTAATTTCCAAAAAGTTTCATGAAAAAATTTTTTCCTAGTACCAACCACACTTTGTCGAAGCAGTCGACGAGCCCGATCTTGGTGCCCCAGGCCCGGTTGATGGTGATGTTGATGAAGGGGTGCCTCTGTTCCTGCTGTAGGAGCTCCACCTGACTCTGTTTGAGGGGGACCACGTTAATGACCCCCACTGTCTGACTGATCCTCTGTCTCTCCTGGAGGGACTGCTGTCTGACCACCGAACCTAGGGAGGAGGACACTGGTATATTACTTAGAATAAACGACACAAATAAAATTCTTAAACGACACTCATAAAATACCTAAATGACACTCATTAAATACTGATTAATTTCCATGAATAAACTGTGAATATATATTGCTTAATATTTATCCTTAAACCCCCTTTTGCATTGACTGAAGGTAACCAAATAAAACCAAAACCAAAATCAATGCCCTAAAATATTAAGCCTTGTGCATTCTTAAGTCTTTAAAGTTTATGGGATTTTTTGATTTATGTACATGATATATGATTAATTTCTTAGTCATATTTTGTCAATGTACATTTTTATCCTTAAAGTCTGTATAAATTTTGACAATTCAATTTTAAAATGCCAGATTCACAAGTTCAATTGGTATGCATTCCTTCTATAAAGTCTGTCATTTAAAATATTGAAGACTTTCAGAGATTAATCTACTGGTCAAAAAATGTCAGCAGTTTGACAAACAGACAGACAGACATGGATACTCCTCCCTACACTTTTTAATGTGAGTATAATAGAGCAAATACGTACTCTTTGGCCTTACTGGCATGTCATCTCGTACGACATTTGACCTCTCCTCTGACGTGTAACTCCTAGAATTCTTTAGGTTGGACCTCCGGGGTGGGGGTCTTGGGGGCTGACCATTCATCATGGTGGCATCCTCATACTCCTCATTGCTGTCGCTGTGGCTCTCTGAAGCCGGCTCTGAGAGGCCTGGTTTGAATTTAAATGCTTGTTGTGGTGGGGAATTTAGTCCTTTAACCACTGGACTGATGGAAGCTTGTCTGCGGGGAGGGGGCAGCTCGGGGATTGAGCCCCTGTCCTCAGGTTTTGGGGTCACGTATGCATAATCTGTTGGAGGAGGAACATTTCTCCGTTTCGGTGGAACAGGTTGTACAGAGTAAAAATTTCCTTTATCTGGATCATCTGGGCGAGAGAAATCTAACAGACCATGCGCAGGTTCTCCAGATCTGGGCGGGGGGACACTGCTAGGAGTTTTATCTGGCACTGGTATTTCTTGTGGAGGTTTTCTGCTTGGTATAGACTCCAGTGGAGGAGGAACAGGACTGGCCACACGTGCAGGGTCAGATTCCCGTGAGTTTCTGTTGGAGTGGGGGGGAGACACGACACTAGAACCTTTTTTGTGGCGTGGCGGTTTGTCTGGACTAGAACATTTAGGTGATTCAGTGCCACTAGTCCGTGGAGGGGGCACAGCTGGAATGTCTTCCATATTGACTGTGGAACTCTGGGAATCAACTGACACAGGGAATGGAGCATACAAATTGTCCTCTTTGGAAGAGGAATCTCTTGATCCTAAGAACACACTTCCACTCTCTTTACTTGTAGGTGTGCTTGCGTCACTAAGACCACTATGGCGTTTCTTTTCATCACAAGGGGGAAGGAACACTCTTAAATCCTTCATATCAGCAGACATATCTTCATAATCAACTAACTTAGATTCACCATCTTCAGTTCGTATCACTTGGTAACCATCGTCTAGCTGATGCACACCAGATGAAGGTTTGGTAAGAGTCCTGCTTCTATCTGCATCACACATGTCTAAATATGGATCACTAGGGGGTCTCTCGGGAGGTTTAAATTCCTCAGAAAATGGATTTCTTGCTAGTTCATAGTTATCTCCATCAGTGTCTGGTTTGGATGAAGTATCACCACTACAGAGCCTTGGTCGCCGGACAAAGCTGTAGTTGTTAGTATTTCTAATAAGTTGTTGAGTTGGGGGGATTTCCTGTTGAGTTGGGGGGATTTCTTTATTTCTGGCACCTCCGTGAAACTGATCCTGTAGACCAGGATCCAGCACGAAATCCAGATTTTCGTTTTCATAAATATTTTGTGATGGTGGATAGTTAATCATAGACACAGGGCGCACGGGTAATGGTGTGGGCCTTCTCTTTATACCCATTTCATCTCTAAATCGTCTATGCATGGCTGGAGATTTCTGTAGTTTTTTATTGTTAACAAAGAAATCTTCTGCCACAAAGTCTTCGTCTCCAGTCGTGTCCGGCTCACTACCACTGGAATCCGAATCAGTGCGATGTCTTCCTCTACGAATTTCCAAACCAACATTCTCTGTAAATCATAACACAACAGCTTCTCAATATCATTCCACTGACGATTTCAATGTAATATGATCTGAAGAACCATTCTCACCAAAATAATTGCCCATTGTGCATTCCATACATGAAGAAAATGTTTTTATAGCACAGGACTGTTTTTGTATGCTTTTTAAAACAAAGACAGGTATTCATAAGAAGCTTCGATTCAATAATTCAATTCATTTATGCGTAGAATACTGTAAACCAACTTTTAGCGACGAAATTTCGCGATTTACCCTGGTTCGCATTTTATTTTCCCAAGCCTTCCACCTGTTGTTAATAGACACATACACTTGGGTGAATTTAAATATGATGACGATGCTCTCATGCAATTTGCGAAAATTTCTCGCAAGGAATAAAATTTCTTAAACAGAAAGAACTTTGTCGGTAATAACCAATAGCCCCCCCCCCCCAAATCAAACTTTGATGGAAATATATTTAATCAAGTTCTTAAACTTAATATTTTTTTTTATAATTTATTGCATTTTCAAAAACAATTTCTTACACAGAAATGTGAAAAAATTTAAGATGGTGCAAGTGTTGAGAGAGAGAGAGAGAGAGAGACAGTACTTCTGGAATTTTGGATAGAAAATATACAGTGTAAATTGGGCATATTTTAATAACAAATACAATATTAAGTTTGCTGAAAGAAGGCCAGGGTTATTATAGTCTCTTCAAAGCTTAAATATCACTACAGCAGAGAGGCAAATATTTTGGTGAAAATGGTAATTTTAAAAGGTTTCTGATGCATAAAAAATTCACTTCGTGTCATATACAAGTAAACAATTAGAATATTGATATTTGCAAATTTCAATGTTTACTGGGTACATGCGAAAAGAAATTACTGTAAGTATTTTTTAAATCAAAATTTTTTAGAAGTATATTTGCTTGCATAATTAATATTCAGTGTATTATTTCTTTTTAAAATGTTAGCATCAAAATTCAAATCAACCATTTGTTAACAAATACAGAAACATTAGTACATTTATTATTTTTTTTCACAGGTAACAACCATTTTGTAAGTTATGTGTCAATATTTCATTGTCTTCTTTTATAAAGAAGTATTTCATGGGTCATTTGCTGAAATATCATCCAAACTTTATTACACATCTAATGTTTAGACTCCAATTAAAACTTAACATAGATGTGACCCAGTGACCTAATTTAACACAGAGTATGTGACATTAAGTAGCAGTCTACATTGATTCATTTCATTAATATCACTCAGATCACTAGCAATACAACTCTACAATCATGTAGAGGTGATAGAAGCTTGTTATCTTAATATGATCTTTTTACAGCCTATTTGTGGCTAGCATGAAATGTGACTATACTAATAGCAACAAGACCTCCAAAAAAATCCTAAATACTGCTGGCATCAGCATAGCACTGCTTAAAAAGACAAGATGAGATTACCAGTGATATATTATGAAGAAAACAGTAAGATTGTGATGTTTGAAGAAAGTGATTATAATGTTAGCCAATCTCTAGAAGAGGAGCTCTGAATTTAGTGTAAGATAAACCTTGGCTGGCATCTTCCGTGTCAAACTCAATGGTTCCCTTAGTCCATGCTGCATCGCTATACTCAGGATCGCTGTCTATATCTCCATCCGCCCCCTTATCCTCCCCCAAGGACGGACTGGAATCGTCCTCGGGGAGGGACCGACAGACCCCGTCGTCAGAATTGGACGAGTTACGCATAGCCAGGATAATAGATTCTCTCAGACCCGCTGAGGCGTTCTGTAAATTACCTGAGTTACGTAACGAATTCATCAAACTCGTCTGACTCTCGAATATCTCCTCCTTCTCACTCTCTACCCTAGTGCCATGGTTACTTGTGGGGAGAGGGGGAGCCTCAGCCCCCGGGGGTGGGGGAGACCCTGGGGGTGTTACAGGAAGGCTCTTTTTGGGGGGTCTTTTGATTGGGTAGGCACTGTATACATGTTCACTACTAGTTTTCCTCTGAAAATAAAAAAGAGATCAAAGATGAAATGATTGCTGAACTACTTTGTGTACAAACACCAATAAAGAAATCTGTACTGCTGTAGTAATTAAATTTTTTAATTCAATATTGTAAATATAAAGCTCACTAAGTTTCCAAAGGCATGAAGTGTTCTTTCTAAAATCCTGCACCATGCCAGCATACTATCCCTAAAAAGAAAGTATACCTCAATGTACTAGTAGTCCAGGTACATGTATCTCTGAGTGGATTTATTGAATTTCAGAGAAAATAATTGAAAAATAAGTCAATACAAAGAGCCACACTGTATACCTGGATTCTGCTGTGAGTTCCAGGATTCGGTCCTCTAAGAAGATACAGAACGTCCAGACCTTGTTGAGGCGTCCCATGGTGTATGTGATCCGTTTACAGTTAGCCATGCAGTAGGAGTGGATAGGCTCCCCTGAGAAGGCGCTCTCCTCTTTATCATAATATTCCAGGTGTGGGATTCCATTCTTCATTCCAAAAACATACCACCTCTGGGGCTCAAACAACTGCAAATAACAATTTGATAACTTTTGAAAAGTCAAAATTATTCATCCAATTTTAATTTTTTAACAATTGGAAAAACATTCAAGAATATAGGATTGAAATTTTTACCCATTCTCTTTACAATGACTTACAATAACCAAAGATGTATATTTTACAAAAGTGAATTTTAAAAAAGTTACTGTGGTTTCATCAATTTCAATGGCATCAATATCATAGATCATATCAAAAGATGTTTCCAAGGATACGTAATTTCGTTGACATAAGCATTGCCTATTCAAATGACTAACATATTAATTCAATGAACATGATGAACATTTAATTTTTAGGATCTGCTCAACAACAAAATCCTCAAAAATTGGTGCTCAACGAATATTGATGAAAGCACAGTATTTTTTGTGTTTATCTTGTGTAAATGTTTAAAAAGGCAAGACAAAACATTTATAAAAGCAATAAGTACAAAACTTACTACCGCTCTTTTGCGGGGGAGTCGAGAAAGGTTAATGGGGCACATGACATTGTTTACAGTAGTGACAATCAACTGATTCAACAATTTAATGCCGAAATCACAATGCCGGATATTGAACTCCAAATAGTACATTGTCATATAAGCTAGAATATTTTATCTGCTTAAAATGTGAGATTTTTGAAAATTAAAAGTGTTAAAAATGTAACAATAACCAAAAATTTATTAGGCTGGTTCTTCAAGTCAAGATTTTTTCCTGTCCTGTAAATGCTACATCGATCTTGCATTATATTTGCACATTTGCCCCCAAAAGTGTTTTTATCGCGAAAGAATAATTTAAGTAATCGTGATATCAAGTATTTTGGCTCCATTCCAGCCTCATTAACGTAATTAACTTATACTTAACAATTTTATTAAAAGTGAAAGCATAACCTTGCTTCAAGTCAAGATTTCATCAAGTACAACTCTTGTGAAAAGTGTTTTTAAATGTTTGCTCAAACTGCTCCATCAGTATGAAAATCCAGACCTCATTACGTGGTGTGAAACAGTTCATGTTATCATAATAAAGTATTGTAGGAGGAAGTGATTTACAAAGTATATATTTATAAACATCTTCAGGAAAACTGGTACATATCAAACATTGAACAAAATGTTACTGGTTAATAAATATAGTATAGAACTATATATAGCATACAAATCTAAATTTATCTTCAAAATAGCCCAGTATAGAACAGAACTGAGTCCACTTTTTCACACCCCACTACCATGAATGGACCCTGGACCCCTGATTTTGTGACGATGAAAAAAGGAAGTCTAAATGTGTCTTGTCATTTTTTATTTGAGATGAAGCAAGCTCAAGTTTCACCAGATTTGTTTACAGTGGGAGTGAAATGTGTGCATCTGCAAGTTAATGCATTAAAATGAGTCAGCAACACTCAAATCAGGGACGAAAGCAATGGCTGTGTATCCTTCCTGTTTCTCAGACAAGAGATTCATTGTCTTCTGAAAACCTCAAATGAAATATTTCCTGATGTTATCCTGTTGAGGCATGGATACAAAATGTACAAACTGCCATGTCTAACTCTGTCTAAGAAGTTAAGGTGACATTGTCTACTAATTTAATTGTCATATGCATCCATGTGCAGGAGATACCATTACACTTAAGGACATGAAATTTTAATATAATATTGATTTTTTTCTCTCTCTCTCTTTTGCTCTCTCAAAAATTTTAAGATGATCAAATTTTTGTATTTCCTGATCTTATCAAATTTTTAAATCAATGTTTATTTTATAGAAATTTTTAAAAAATAATTTCTGTATAATGCTTGAAATCTGAATTATGTAACATTTTCTGGATGATTTGGCTAGAGAAGTCAACTGACCTCCCTCATAGATTCAATAAATTTAGAAGATAATGAACAGTGACCAATATCATAAAAACATTAGACAAAATGAATCATGAACATGACAAAACACCTAAAAACACCAGAGAAAGAATTGAGTGACTTGGAGGTGAAAGTGCCCCCTGTGGACTTGTTGCACCTGCCTTGTCCCCTATATATCACATGCATCTCAGTTCATGTCGTCTATTATACTCAGGAAAAATAATGTCAGTGTGTATATGGTTCCTCACTACAGAGCTTTTCAAATAGATGTATTTCTAAAATTCATGAAAACAGTACAATTTGATGAGTGTCTGGGGTCTCTGTACTACATGTCAAGAGTTTCAGAGGTTTTTGTTTGAGTTATTTGTTTTATGCTGGTGACAAAACTAGCCAATGTTGAAGACAGTTTTGCAGGACATGCATGTGATAACATTGTAGTTACTAAACTGTGCAATATACCTGCTTTATGCTGGTAAAAGAGTTAGCTCAAACAAATGGGCATGCTTTAGAGAATGTCAGAGTTACTGTACCTGTTTTATGCTGGTGGCAAAACTAGCCCCTGTGGAAGATGGTGATGTGGGGTGAGCTTTCTTTAGGTACCCCTGCTTTATGATGTTATTCATACTCATGATGAATTAGAGATGGATCTGAAGGAAAAAAAATTGATAATGACAATTCATATTTTAGATGTATATGACAAAAAATCTATTGAACTGCAATTGGGCTTTTTTGTTTCTATACGCAGTTTACAGACTTTTTAGCAGTTCAAGAATATATGCTCATTTTCATCCGGTTAATTATTTAACTATATAAACATGATAATGTATGTTTAAAATAATGACTATAGTAATTGTCAGTTAATCATTTATGACCAATGAGCAACTGGAGTTGATCATGTTGATAGAAAACAACACCTGTTGTTTAAGATGAATTTTCTGAAACTTATTTCACCACACCACATTTAAATTTCAAAGGTCAAGTTTTTTAGCATGTTAAATAGGTTCTGAGCATAAGTGTACTTAAAATATGTACATATTTGACAAAATTACATATCATTCAAACATTACAAAAGTCATTCAAATCTGCATGATCTTGACCATTAAGTCATGTTTACCTGGAAGTACATGCATTAAAAACAACCCTAGAAAACATGAGAGCTAGTATAAATACAGGGACACTCTCTGTTCAATACTTTCTTATAAGAGAGACAGAGAGAGAGATGTATAATCATGATTATGTGATATACATATAAAGTACAAAGAAACTCTATCTACCTGGTACTGGTTTATGAAATATCTACTTGATTTAACTTTTTTTATCATCATAAAACTCAACAAATATGCCATCTTATTTAAAAAAAAAAACAGACTTTCTTTTACATCATGTACATGTATTTAGATCTTGTTTTGTTCACTACCTTTTATAATACAACTATTCTGTAATGGAGCGCAGCCTAGAACTTCATTTCACAAAAGAACTATATACAAATCAAAATTAATATTTAGCAACTGCTTTGTATTTAAAATACCGTTTGATTGGCTATTGCTCTGATGCCTGAGGCAGTAAAACAAAGCTTTTGTAAAATTATCATAAAGATAAAAAAAACATACTGTTATATGACATATTTCATATCGAAAAACTCAACAAAATAAAACGTAAACATCAAACAAGAAAAACATACTGTTATGTGCTACAGTTACTTCACAAACATACTCTGCTTACATAAGTTGTCTGTAAAACTTGGTTTGCAACCTTCAAATTAGCTCTAATTCATACTAAAGGGCTATTTTTGCACAAAAATAAAAATTGGTTTATAGCTAAAGTACATCATTTATTATTTAAGGTCAAGATCTAGTAAATGAAAGGTGAATTATCAAATTTGAAATAAATTCTCTTATTGATGCTTTACAACTTTAGCTTGGCCAAATAAGGTAATGTTGAGATAAACAAGATGAAAAACTGTACAAACTGTCATTTTCAATGAAAAATTTACCGGTAATGAATATGGGCGTTTTTTACTCAAATGGAATATATAGATACGTCTCTGAAAACGATAATTAGTATGTTCATGCCCTCTTCTTTCAATCAATATCAAATTCAATATAGGTATCCGGTTTACTTTTCATATGATTTCAAATTGAATGTCATGAAAATAGCTTATTTTCTACATAATTCTGCTAAAGCCGTAAATAAAAATTGAAATTGATTATGACGTCATAATGGATCTAGCACCAAAAAATTAGTAAAGTTATTTTAATAAAATAACTTTATTCAAGCATTATTTATCATAACTTTTTTGAGAGATGTGCGATATAAGGCATATTGCTGTAAAGCATTTTTTAATGAAAAAATGCAGGCATAAAAATTGATATAAAACCCCCAGTTCTTGGAACATTAGATATATGGTATCTCAGCTATTTGACTACCAGCAAACCTACCCAATTTTTATATTCACCACGGTTATCATGATTACATGACTTGATTACACTACTGATGATTGATCATGCTAAGGATAAAATTAACCCTGGGAAACTTCCATCCATGACTACCCGGCCATATCAAGGCATTGTTTGTAACAGAAAGGATGAAAATGCCACATTTCAGACCAGAATTAAAGGTGGGACACCAGAAGACTACAGATATACGTAAACACTCTAGCAATACAGCCTCCTGATCAAGCAAAGGAACTTGCAAGACCACCATTGCGATCATTTCACTGTTCATAGACACACAAAAAAAAATTATTAGTCAGCAGATGCGGGCCTCATGGCCCACATGTGTCACAGTCAATGGTTAAGTAATTTAACAATTATGTACATGTAAACCATTAATACAATGTTTTTGCCTTTTTAACACAAAGAAAAATTAAGTGATTAACGAATAAATAAATAATGGCAAATAAAGTTAAATTTCTATGATTATGAAAACTAATACATTTGCCCAAATATTTGACATTGCTAGGTCCCCTTACATGCTTATAATGATGACAACAGAAGCTATACATTGTTTAACACTTATATTGTATAATGGTCCCTCATGTTGCAGACAATACTGACTGGGGTATTACAGTTATACATGTTATGCAAGTCTATAAAATAATGTTCATATAATATTTAAGACCCAATTGTTTCCAATAGTTACAAGATATATAACAACTGGCTTGTTAACTTTTTTCAAATTCCTATCATGGCTATAATTATGTACACCATGATCTTTTCAGCTATATTGTATAGACAGAGAAAAAAAGCGTGAAACAGATTATGGTCTAATACCTCACACGCCGGTTACATAATGCCAGACAGTAATGGACGCCGCTCTTCGCGGACCCTGGTGTAAAATTTACTTCCTTTTCTCGAAAACTGCATAAATGACACTGCACTAAAAACAAGTCGCTGAATTCTCATCTCTTCATCATTTACTTATAATGCAAAGTCTGTTTGTGAAGCAGATGAAATTACATGATTCAAATCTGCTTTGTGCGAAGTATTTTTGTGTCGCAAAATATGTGTAATTTCATTATCATAACATTTCAGCATTTGCAAAATGCAAGTAGCACTTTACTTCCGCAATAAGGAAAGCGCCACCTGTAAATATTGCATCCAAGGTATGTAACTCCCGATTCATTTAGATGCTTTTGCAGAGTTTTTTTTCAATCAAAATAAAACTTTAATCGGCCTTCAATCATAATAAAATTTCACCGTGTAAAATATAAATTCAAACTCTAAATGTATATTTAATTTTTATTTTAAGTGATAATTTATTTAAAATTATTGTGTTTTAAAATTTGCATTTTATTTTTTTCATGTTAAATTACTAATTCATTTAAACACATAAAATTTAACAACAATTTTTATGCCCAAACATTTTTCACTTTTATAATTAATTAATTTTGTTCTTTATGTCCATGCCATCAAAGTATTTCATTAATTGACACTGTATCACTTTTACTAATTGTCAACACCTGTCATTTTTAACTCATTGTACATTTTATAAAAACAATTGTCAAATTTTATAAAACTCGGAGGCCGGATATTATACCGGCCACACGTCCGACTCGTTCCCCCATCATGCTGTAATTATTTATACTTTTAACAGTTTGGAGGCTACGGCCATATCCGACTGGTTCTTGTTTATTGTTGTTCAATGAAAATTTCCATCGTTAAGACTTTACTACATAAATTCGGAAACCATACTTTTTCCTCATTTATGGCTTTTTATATGTGTCATCGGGAAGAGTCCTTGTGATTTTGAAGTCAAAAGGTCAACGAACGCCATAACTTCCCTTGCCAACATTCCCTTTGCCCGATCAACGACACATTTTCTAGAGAAACTACGCGGTCATAAATGAAATGTAATATCAACGCCCGGGGCTGCTGCATATATTTTGCAGGTCAAAAGGTCAAGGTCACAAAGCATTCATTCTGTGTTTGTTTTACAAACTTTCACAACCGTCAACGATGGCAAAAAGCTTTTGCCACAGCCATGGACAACTTGTTATACTAAAATTTCCGACCTTACTCCTGAAGACAAACCCGATTACATTTCCATATCAAGATTCCAAGACTTTTTCCAATTCTTACCATCAATAATTTTCTACGGTTATCAAGAACTTGTTTCAAAAATATTCCACTACTGTGTGTTCATATGTGAAGTATATGTTTTTTTAAAAAGGACGTGTTTTTCCCGGAGCGGTGGGAAACTATCACCGTGTGAAATTGACTGTTTGACTTCAAATTCATTTTGGACTCTAAATGTATATTTAATTTTTATTTTAATGTGATATTTGGTATTCTAAAATTATTGTGTCTTAAAATTTGCATTTTATATTTTTTCATGTTAAATTACTAAGTGTTCATTTAATTACTGAGTGACACTTGTCGGACACCAAAGGGGCAGAGTGTTTATGCCCAAGGACATTTTAATCACTTTTACAAACAACATGTAATTAATTAATTATCGGTGTTCTTTATGTCCATGCCATCAAAGTATTTCATTAATTGTTCACTGTATCACTTTTACTCATTGTCAAACCTGTCATTTTTAACTCATTGTCATTTTATAAAAACAATTGTCAAATTTTACTAAAAATTTTACACCGGCCACAACTCGTTCTATCATGCTGTAATTATTTATACTTTTAACAGTTTGGAGGCTACGGCCATATCCGAGGTTCTTGTTTATTGTTGTGTTAGCCATTTAAATGTGCATGTATAATAAATTCGGAAACCATACTTTTTTTTACTTTCTTTTTATATGTGTCAGAAGAGTCCTTGGAAACGGCTCGTTTTGAAAACGACGCCACTCACTTCCCTTGCCAACATTCCCTCTTGCCCGATCAACGACACATCTTCTAGACCCAAACTACGCGGTCATACATGTCAGAGAGGTGAAGTCATTGTGCAGTGATTCAGAAGCAGAGGCCACGCCTAAGACAGTCACTAAGGCCAATAATGATACTTAACTGAAAGACTGCTTCATCGGACTTTGTAATAGTATGGTTAGAACATTGGCTCTTGCCCATAAAGTACATTAAAAATATAAATAAACCGTTTTAAAGGATAATTTATTTAAAATAAATTTGTTGCATTATTTTCTTCATGAATAATTAAAACACAGGTAAAATTTAATAATAATTTTTATTTCAAATTTTCACAATTTAAATTTTGTTCAGGAAGCTTGTACAACGAGCGCTGATGACAACAGGATGCTTTTAAAAATCACTATGCTAGAATGACAACTCATAAATGTATAAAAAGAATTCATTTATCAATTAAGGGATATCATTTCGGTCTGTCCGTCCGTCTAGCTTTCCATCTTTCACACTCGTTTTCACGCTATATCTTGAAAACCAATTAAGGTTTTGCAACGAAATTTCTAATTTAAGATGCTACATAAAACTCCTTCATTTATGGCAGATCCCAGTGATTCTGAGCTCAAAAGGTCAATGTTGAAGGTCATCAATTCAGTCTGTTTTAAACTATCGTTTCCACGCTATCTATCTAGAGAAGCCTTTGAGCTTTTCAATGAAATGTACGTTATCATAGCTCCCGATGGCCGCTTTTGATTTTGAGGTCAAAAGGTCAAGGTCACAAAGTCATTCATTCTGTGTGTGTATTATTTAAACTTTCATTTCCTGACGATATCATAAAAAGTGCTTTTGTAAAAAAAAGTTCATAATTTGTTCTAAAAATATCCAAATTATTCATGAATTCCCAGAATTATCTTCTAGAATATATATATATATATATTTTTAAAACGAGTGCCCCGTAGATGCAAGAATTTAGACCCCCCCCCCCCGGGAGGTGGCGTATAAAAGCATATTTTTTCTACAAAATCTTGCTTCCCTGAATTTCTTTATATTTATTACTCTCATCCATTTATATCTAAGTATATTTTTTACTCTCATCCATTTTCAGTGTGTGATTTGGATTGTCCCTGTAGATGTGCAATAAGGTTATATATAGTTTTTAATACTGATAGGATGATTAGGGGTCATAACGACGTTGTTCTACAAATAATACGGTTCCCTCTTTTAGAAGGCGATTGCTGTTGTCATGTATAGAAGTACAATGAGGTTCCAGAAATTTTAATTTTATATTTTGGGGCGAAATAGGGGTTAAAATAATTTTATTTAATTATAAAACTGCTTTTTCCGAACTCATCTAACAGTTTTTCATAGTGGCCCAGTCAGAATTTGGAAGATCCCTTCGAGTGTCATAAAGATGTGCATATGAGTTCGACATTTCGATTTTTACTCTTTGGGTGATTCAGGGTTGAAAACTGACCGTTTTGAAAATCATACAATCATCGTGGTCCTTTTTCTTGTTACCCAATTTAAATATGAATGTGTGAGTATTTTTTGTGCGAGTTTACGACTGTCTTAAGATAGTGTCTAGATGTTCTGCGTCAGGAAAAGCATTTTTTTTCCTAAACTCCTTTTTAGAGTTAGAATTTACTTCATAATTATCTTTAATAGGCAAATGTTTATTATTTACCTCTGAAACACCAGAACAGGTTCAACTGCCATGGAGAAGAAAACAACCCTGCAGACCCGTGTGCGCTTTGTCATGCATGACCAAACGCCAAAAAAAATCCATAGACAATTGACAATTCGGTGTGAAAAAAAATGGATGATGATTAGTATGAATAAGCTAACACAGAGAATCTGTGTTCCTCGGGGGGGGGGGGGGGGGAGTGAAGTAGGCGGGCACTTTAAAAATTAAATAGGGATTTGTGGTCATCTTCGCTAGCCAAGGGTTTCTGATACGCTACTCTCCTCATGCTTATGTGGTTTGATTACAGATGAGATAAAGATGAAAAATTCTGAAATGAAGCTAACATAGTTTATAACAAAGTGTGCAAAAAAAAGTTTGTTTAATTTGTCTGAAAAATGAAACGTGATTGAATGTTAATTATTGCTATAAGTGTTGCGATTTAGAAGTCGATGTGGATTGGTCTTTTTCTACATTAATTTTGAATTTTAGTAATATTTCAAACATTTCCATACAGGAAATTGAACAACCCAATGCGATTTTTATACTTTCGAACCATCGTCTGAAAAGTTGTTCAATCCCACAGAGAAAAATGAGACTTTTTCTCAGTGTCAACTACCAATTCTAATACTACATTTTCGGTACATCACTAAAAGTGCGGGGGCCAACCAGGCTTTCAATTAACATTTCCTATAGTATAAGTAAGGTTGGGGGAAAAATTTTTTTGGAATCTTCCCCCCGGTTGCTACGCCCCTGTACATTAATTTTGAATCTAAGTAATATTTCGAACATTTCCATACAGGAAATCGAACAACCCAATGCGATTTTTATACTTTCGAACCATCGTCTGAAAAGTGTTCAATCCCACAGAGAAAAATGAGGACGTTTTTTGAAAGCGATCATGAAGGTGCGTTTTATTTTATTTTTTTTTTAGCTCACAAAAGATGACGCAGAATTCATAGGAAGGGCAATGCGTAATTTGGACATTGTGTTGCAGAAAACAGGAAATTTATTGACAACTAACTCCGAGTAACAGAGGTGATTTAAGATGTATACTAAATATAGTCTCGTCAAACCTTGGCAAACGGATAAAACAACACACTAGACATCCCTACCCTACCAACCTGTTTTAACACCCACCCCCCAATGAACCCTTCAGTTCTTTTGGAGCTTATCGATTATCTGGAACTTCTTTTTTAATTCCTTCTTAAATTCTACCAAAAATCACAGAATTACAGGGATATCTGTACGGACGCTACAAAAGACGACCACAAAGAATTCTAACTAGAAATATAATTCAGTTGATGGCATTCTATATAGTACTTGCTGATCAATATGTCTGTCTGTGCACACATGCAATCCAAAAAAACGTACTGCTTCTTGGCGCGAGTTCTTTAAATAATTAAAAGCGGGAGATAGGGTGTCATTTGTTTGTACTGATTGAAGTAATTATAAATTATGTAACCTAGGTAATGTTTTCTTATATCCTTACATATTGTATTCTTTGTACTTCTTCAAACTGCATTGCATAGGATAGCTAGCTAAATACAGTTGACTTTTTTCCTAGAATATTCTCATCCTTGTTTTTGACATTGTATAAATTCAGCAGGTTACTCTAAACAGTCAAAATAAATGTCAGTCTCAGTGTGAATTACCTTGTATCCTCTTATGGCGTTTTGCAAGGATATTAAAGAATATATGCAAGTTTTATATAACTATATATGTTTGCAAATTAAATTTTAACTTACCCGACATGGCGCTGAGTTTAACTGCCTTCTTTTTTATATATACTACTTGTATTATTCATTTATTATATCGTTCAATCATCGGATAGGCACTTTATAGCTAGGATGTTCCTATTTCGAGTTTGTTTTATTTTTAGAATTAAAAAGTCACGAATTTACAAAAAGCGGGATGAAGTTTGACTGCGATAAAACGCTATGTTCAAACAAGGATGTAATTTTAAAAGATCTTTAAATCACTCCATGACCGGTAACTCTGGAAATATAGCTATAAATATTATCCTTGCAATATTCATCATTTTCTTTCAATAGATGTTTCTTTATTTAAAAGATGAATTTCAAATAACTTTAAATCTGGAGGGAAAAAATACTGCCTCTTTATTGCGCATGAAACTTTGTTGGAGTGGAATTCAAACTGTACTTGTATTTTTTTTTAATATTAATTAATAATTACATAAAAAGTATGCAAATTGGGAATATCTTGTTTTATCGAAGAATAGGGATTGAAAGATTGAAAATTTGATGGAAAGCAAAATATTTCCTTTATTGCTAACATTAGGCGCGGGGGGAGGGGGGTCTTTCCCGTTCTTAGCATGTGTAAATTTTTATAAAGCGAATTTGATTCTGAACTACGTAGAAATAATACATTTTATAAAGAATCGCTTTCTCTCACACTTCTTTAGTGTTCTGACAAATTGACTTCGAGTGAAAATGGTAGGGAAAATGAAACCCGTCACATGCTTGGATAAAAAGAGAAAATGTGTAGAAGTTATAAAACAAAAATCAAACCAACTGTTTTATCAATCTTGAAAAAACTCTATCGAATTTCAATTTTAAAACAGGAAAAAAAATGAAATTGTCTGAAAATGAATGTGAAATAACTTATTTTACCATGAATGCATGTAACAAATGCAAAAAGAAGAGGGCTAAAATCATATAGAAAAAGAATGTTATATGTAATTTTTAAAAGTGCTAATTTTAATGAGTTTACACACATAATACCCAAAAATACATTCTTCCAATGCTTTCAACTAAAAATAAAAGGTGCGAGACTTTCTTACCGGATTTCTGAAGGTTTATCAAGAAAGTTTTAATTTTAGCGAGTAAGTACTGTTTCCTATATTTTTAATACAGCGTGAAAATTTGAAAATTTGTGGTGGTGACTCTAATTTTCATTTCAAAGGCAATTTAATCAATGTTCATTTATTATTTTATTATTGAGCGGCTTTACACATTGAATAGCATGAAGTGGCTGGTATGATAAGAAGATTTATCAAGAAACTGTGGAGTTCTATTCCAAAGATGAGTGAGACAGTGACTGCTCCCCACATGGTATGTTTATATCAGCATTATTCTCTTTAGAGAAGTGGACAGGCTTTCGCCTACATCTCTAAGGAGAATAACATCAACATTACTATGTGTATGTCTGTTACACAATGGTCATATCAAGGAATCTCTTCATATTTTAGGTTCATTATAAATATGCATAAGTACTCAACCACAAAAGGTTGAACGGAAATTGTAACCTCCCCTGCAAAAAATGTTTCACTCAAACTTTAAAAAGTTGAACACTGTTGAATATATTATAGCTGTGACTGCCCACTGAACCAGTAAGGTATGAGTAGCCTATGAGTATTTATTGGGATTTATAAACTTTTTTTTTTATCAACAAAGATCCAGAATTCAATTAATAAAACTTTACTTCCTACATGGTATTGTTAAATAACTGGAATTTTTTTCCAACTAGACCCCAAATTTTTTGGGGGGGATTGATTTAGGTTTGTTTGCAGTTGTCTATCGACCCACTAAGAATGCACCTAACTCGAAACTTTTTTCCAGCCTTTTTTTTGAAAAATTTTTTTGGGAACTTTCAAATTTTTAGGATATTGAAACTTGTTTGATTTTCCATTTTTTGATTTTTGTTTCCTTCAATCAGTGGCATAAAATAATGAGAACTTTATTTGCATTAAGTAACACTAAGAAAATCTCCTTGATTTGTAATCCATCAAAAACTTGATAACTAAAATCTATTTTTATAAAAAAATCACACCTACGTACCGACCCAATCTAAAAAAAATGTCAGTTGGCAACTGCAAACAAAAAAAAACTTTTAAAGCTTGGCCTTATCAAGAAATTCTGTCGTTATGGACATCTGTAGGTATTGCTTTTATGAAGTTCCACTGAAATATTTGGATTTGAATAAAAGAAGACCACTATTTTGTTAGTAAATACCGCCTCAAATATGAGCAGTTGACTACAAAACAGGTGGTAAAATCACCCTTTGGTGGTGTGTACCCAACCTGATTATTCTTATGATTGTGCAATGGCATCATTATATATGATCTACATTACCAACACTTCATTTCATGATTTGTTTAAATATAAAAATGGTAACATTTTAGGATTATTTCATTAAAAGAACTTAATTGTCAGTGGAAGATGAAATCTAGTAAATGATACCTCTTGAAATCTTTAAGAGTTACAGGGTTATGTGAGCTAGTAAACAGCCCACATAGATATTCTCAGCACCTACCTGGCACTGATTGTTGGAATTTTGAACCAACAAGGTGAAAGATACACAAGGAAAGATATTGAAATAATGATTGTAGCCATTTTTATTTGTTTGTAGAAAAGAAAAACTGAAGATGAATCAGAATCAATTCAAAAGAAAGTGAAAACCATTAAAAAGGTAAAATTATTGATTTTAAAGCATACAACATTAACCAGACTTCAATTTAATTTTTAAGTGCATATATGTAAACCATTTATGCATTCAATTCAGTCCAGTTTAACATGACAGATGTTATTTATCTGTAGGAACCTGTTCCACAAATGCAAGGTAATCCCAATGCAAAGAGGAAGGTGGCAGTTCTGATTGCTTATAATGGAAAGGGATATCACGGGATTCAGAGGTATTAAAGCTAGGGTTAGGAGTAGTTTTAATTATATTTAGATATTCATTAAAATTTTAGCTCACCTGAGCTGAAAGCTCTAGTGAGCTCTTCTAAACACATTTTACCTGTAGATTGTCCATCCATCCACCTGTAAACATAATACTGTAGATCACTAAATATTCGCGACACCTTATTTCCGCGATATAGTCATTGACTCTTGATTAGCGAGACAAAATTTTCGCGAATTGTAATTATTGCTCTATATAATCTTAAGGAATACTATTATACGCGAGAATTAAATTGTCTCGCGTAATTACGCGAAAGTAAAGTTCTCGCGAATATAAAGTGATTTACAGTACCCTAAAATATATAATCTTTTTATATTCTTATTATCTAATTAATATTATATGTTGTGTTAGCCAAAGTAAACCCCAAGGAACAATTAAGTTTGAACTCCTGAATATAGAGAGCCCTGTTTTTACAGAAATCCCCCCTACCCCTCTATAGAAGAGGAGTTACTGAAGGCTCTACTGAAGGTTGGAGCCATCACACAGGACCACTATGATAAACCAGGCACTGTAAGTGTATATAGTATAATAGTGATTCAATACAGGATTATAATAGACAGATTGTAATCATAAGTGGTATAAGTAGGACCTTTACTTTTGATTAATTTGTATGTTAAGGAAAATTGAACTCTTTATCAAACATTTTTATTGCAGTATTCTTTAAAAAAAAATAGCATTTTTTCTGTTGCTAAATTAGTAAATACAAAATTCTTAAATATTTAACTCTTACTAGACAGACATTGTATTGGTGCTGTGTGTAAATTTTTAGATACATTTCCAGCGAGCAGCGAGAACAGACAAAAATGTATCAGCAGCCAGTAATATCATCTCCCTCAAGATGAGTACTTAAATTAAATTCATGTAGTGGCAAGCTAAGAATCATTTTCATACTGAAAGTAAATACTGCTGTGCACTGAAAAGCTTTATGTGTGGATGTTTTCTATAAACCATAAAATACAACAAGTCATTCTAACTGGAGTTATTCCCCTTTCCATTCTGCTTTGTGCCTTTCAAAACAGTGCATTTCTTGCACTAATGCAGTGATTTATAGAAAAAGACTTGTTGACTTCACCTCATTGTTAATTCATAGAATTCATAGAATTCGCTTTTTAAATTTCTTACGGATGTTTCGAAGGAAAAATTATTTAAAAATATATTGATCTGTTTTTGTTTTTGTTTTTTTTTTACATGGTGACTAATGTAGAAAACTTTCTGGAAGTAGTAAACCAGGAATTGCCAAAGCAGATAAGAATATTTGGTAAGATTTTTAAATTAAGATTGGCAAACTTACTTGTACAGACAGAGAAAGATTTAGTTTAGCCTAATCACTACTTCTGATTAGATTTACATGGCTCGGGTTTACCTTGATCATTACTTGTTTTTATGTTAATCATCAGTCTGGCTCCCCTATAAGTTTACAGGGATACTTCTAATCTTGTAACTGTTGGTGTATTCCGCATCAAATATAACAAAGGTTATTGAACTTTTGGGCACCTGACCTGTGTGATGAATTTGATCAAGATTACAATTACCTGAATACATATACTAATACATATAGTTTGTAAAAACGTTTTTATGAATGTGACACAGTCAGGTGACCAATTGCTCTCTGTCTTTGTTTGTCGTCTTGCGACATGCAACAATTGTAAATGTTTGTAAATTTTCAGCTTTTTCTCTTGAACCCCTGAACCAATTTCAGCAATTCTAATTTAGCTGCAGTGGGTGAATGGGTACAAAAAAAATTGAATTTCATGGTCCCTTCACTCCTAGCCTGGGCCCAAAGAGGTGGGACTAAAAATCAAAATAAGTGCTATTCTTAAAAATCTTCTTCTTTGCTCTTGGCATCAAGCATCTTACTGTGGGATCATTTTAATTCTTGGAGGACAATGTTTGTGAAAAAACGAAACAAACATTGGTCCCCCACAAACTTTGATGAATCCACAGTAAATGTTGGCATGTTTGAATTAGACATTCAGTCCTAGGGCTGGACAAAAATATCGATATGAGAAACTTTTAAGCTAATCCTAAAGACAAATGTGACTTGTGACTATACAATTGGTCTAATAGGGCTGGGCAAAAAAAACTGATATTTCGGTATATTGCAATACAATGACAAAAATATCGTATCACAATACGTTTTTGTAATATCGATATACCAGCAAAATTCTTTGAGTATTCACTAAGGAATTTTATCATTAGATAAAAGAACAAATGTAAGAAAGGTTTGTAGTTAAGCCAAACAGAAAGACAGGAACTGTGTTATGGCTGTATTTCAGAGCATAAATTTAATAAGATATCAACAAGATTTTTTCTTTATTCTGCTTGTTTATCATAGCAATGTAGATTCTGCATGTAAATTAAATGTAATATAAAGGGAAAATGTCATTTTAATGATGTTAAAAGCCCAGCCCTATTCAGTCCTGTACCAGATGTATGAAATGAAAGGAGATCTTCAGTTAGGATGATGCTGTAATGAAAATAGTTGTAAAAATGCATAATAAAAAAAAGAAATTCTGCCTCCCTTTATAATACAAAAGCTTTAGAACTTGTTCAAATCAGTTAATGGTTCATGCGTGTTATTTTTGAAAAAATAAAGGAGACTACTTGGTTAATTAAAATAAAAAAATAATTCAAGGAAACTCAGGTAATTCAAACTATTTGAAGTATATTAACCCTTTGTGTGCTGACTTGTTTTACGTACGCTGTAACCTCAGGACTGAGTTGTTTTGTAATATCAACAAAATTATCACAATGGTGTACTAAAATGCAAATATCTAAAATTGTTGACAACCAATTTGCTTGAAATTTGGCAAATATATAGCAAATGTTGTGTTTTTTAATCTATACTATTTTTTTTTAAAAAATCTAATATTTTATGTTGCCATGGAAACCAAATTTTCAAAAAATTTATTTTAAAAATGACTTTTTAGCATTCTAACTATCTTGTTCAGAGAAAATATCGCACTTTGATGAAAAAAAATAAATCAATCGCTTTAAAAATTCAATTTTAGTTTAATTTTATGCAAAAATATTTTTTATTTAAACAATAACTCAGTGATAAAGTCAATGTTATATATACCGTTATGTTGTGAAAAGTCATTGTATATTTATCTGAGTAAGGGATATATTCATGTAGGTTTAAGTGACTTCTGATTAAAGTTAATGGATTTTTTTCAGATTTTAACTAAAAAGAGTATAATTGAAGATTCAATTAGCCTGTAAATATAAAACCAGTGATCATTTTAAGAAATATTGGCAATCATATAAGAAAGTATGATCCTCAAAGAATATGCAGTTTTCGAGGTTGGGAAATCTTGGAGCAAATTGGCACAACAATGAACTATTTGCTGTTACTAGTATTCATTTTCAAATTAAAGCAGTCAATATGTTAAATAAATTTTAAAAAAAATAAAATAACATTTACATTAAGTTTTAGAGGTCTTATTTTCTGATGACTGGTATCTAACAGCCCTAAATATACTCTAGTAATTCTCAAATCTTTTTTTTTTTATTTTGCTTTTATTGAAGAAAATGCATTTCTCCATGTTATTTGTAAAGTTTACATATTCATCAACTTTCCTCCCACAGTACTTCTCACTCTGTAAGAAATGTGGCATTTATTTTAGAAGTTTTATTCCTGGCTGGCAACAAAAATTGCCAGCAGGAAAACTAGTACTTTAAATTTTAGAAATTTAAGCACCTTTAACAGTCATTTATAATGTAATCAAAAATGACTTCGTTCAACGTGGTCACTGGTGAATAACAGTTTTGATTTTTTTCAATTGATTTTAGTTAATGATGGTTGACAGATATGTACCATAATATCAATCAATATATTATGAAATACTTTTAAGTTTATGCAAGTCTAATGGTATGGGTCATGGATATAGGCCAAGTAAGCTCAGTCAGTAGCGCATCTGACCGGTGATGCAGGGGCCCCTTCTTAGATTCACGGTCCAGCCGTGCATTTTCTCCTTCCTTGTTACATATTTGATGCTATTGACCCCTCTGGATTTACAAGTGAAAGTCCTGTCAAGGGCTAATATAGGTTGTGTCTGCAAGGATAAAGATAACTTTAAGGAGGGATATGTAATTGTTGTGCTATGGATATCAACCTAGGTAGCTCATTCGGTAGAGCACCTGACTAGTGAAGCAGGGTTCCTGTGTTCAATTCCTGGTACAACCATAGTTACCATACATTTTCTCCTTTCCTATTATACAAGTTTTAAATGTGCCTGAATTTTTACTTCAACAAAAAATATTATTCCTAATACTGTATACAGGGAAATTTTTGCCCCAGTGTTTTATTTTTGCCCCTTTCACCCTCTCCTTGATTGGACGAATTCAAATTACACCTCATAATTTCTTAAACAGAACTATGACTGGGTGAATTTAAAATGGGGCAAAATTGTTCACAAGTTCAAAAGGGCGAAAATAACACGGGTTGAAAATAACCCTGTATACAGTAATGAAATTTATATTTTATTTCCACTATGGGATTTCTTTGTATTCTTAGTAACTATTCATATTTTCATATTTAAAAATAAACATATCTTTGGAGACCAAAATGCAATCTTTGTTGATAAGTAATTGTACAGGAATTTGCATTTTTGAAAAAAAATAATTTTGACCATCATTAAAAAAAATTCTCACAGCAAATCTTAGCCTTTTTTCTGTATTCATTCAGGCATATATGATTATCTCTTACATCAAATGTACCTATCTTACTGTTACATATCTAGAAGGGATGGAATGTAGAAGCTTCTTGGGCCTTATAAATTTGTAAACTAGAGAACATATTACATATTAATAGGTAAAAACTTGTACAGTGTGTACTTTTGAGTTTGAGAAGTACAATTCCTACAGTAAAACTCGGTTATAACGAAGTCACTGGGACCTATGAAATTACTTCGCTATATCTGTAATTCGTTATAACTGTATAAGAAATCAATTAAATTTATTTAGCTGGGTATCCAAATTGACTTCGCTATATCTGTAAATTCGCAATATTCGTGTTCGTACTAAATGAGTTTTGCTGTATTACCCAGTTTTTATTGTAATTTATTGAACAGATGTACATGCAAGTCCATACGATTTACAAATTACTCATTCTAAAGACTCTGATCTCCTTCTTATGCCTACAAAAATGACAATTCATCTTAATTTTAAACTGTAGAGATACCATTTATTTAACCAGTGAATTTTATAATTTTGTGTGTGGATGTATAGGTTGGGGCAGTCTCACTGTTTTTGGTTTTTAATAAAATAAAAATAAAAAGTGGAGGAAACATGCAATTTAATCCACATGCTTTATTCTGGCAAAAGTCTATTTTAAAGAAAAAGAAAATTTCTCCCTGATACATGTTCTTAAACTTGGTTTAAAAAAATTCTGATACATGTAGTGCCAATTATTTTCACTTACTAATTAGGTCCCATATAAACTAGAGTATGTAAATGCCTTGAAGAAATCTAACTCTAAGATACCAAAGATCCCGGAACATATTTTGGTTTTGAAATTATTGAGAGTCTATATACCGTATATCCGGTTTTTTTCGCGGTGATCTATTTTTCGCATTTTTTGCGACCATTACTAATTCGCAAAATGTTAAACACGCAGAAATTATATCAGCTAAAATGTGACATAAAAACATTACCATTTTAAACAAAAAACCTTTAATCGTAAAAAATAACTTACGTAAAATAAAAACTGTACTAATCTACCCCCTTTTCGCAAAATTTCCAACACACGAAAAAAAACCGGATATACGGTAATCCTCATCAAGGAAATAAAAATGGTATTTTATTACTTACTCAATACTGAAATAAAACAAATACCACAATTTACACAAATGACAGTCATTTCAGGGAAAATCAGCACTTCAAATTTTTTTCATCACTTTTTACCATTTTCATGTATATGCACAATATATCAAATGCATCAATGCATCTTTTCTGATAACTAGCTTACATTTGAAGACACTATATAGAAAAAAATCAAGTTTATTTTAAATTTTTAATTGTGCTAAAATTTTTACAATTTATCATATACTGTTATAAGAAAATATTTGAAAGTTTTCCCAAATAGATGGAACATCAGACAGCTTTAAACCAGAATTTTTAGGTGTAATTAGGGCCACTTAATTGACTCAATGATTGTCAGTTATAAAATTCATATTGTGTATATTTCGAATACCTGTATCATGAATTAATTTTGCTTGATCACAAAAATATGTTGATGGATATATATTCTCTATATATCTCTTTTGCACTCACTTATTAATGCAATAACTCATTGGAAAATTTTCTACAATGTTCAAGGTCCTCCACATTTATTACTTTTATTAGGTGGAACCTTTTTTGTCTTTCATCATTTTTGAAATGGGTCTTTAGATTTAAAAAAAAATTATTTACTTATTTATTTGTTTATTTATTGTTAAAAAACAAATGCTTTTAATTAACAAGATGCTTCAAATTATTTTTTGCAAACCTTTATTTCAAAGCAAAGCTTGATTTACGTATGTAAACAACGTGCACGGCCACTGAGGAAGGGAAAAAGGTCTGTGACTTTCCAGGTTCAATTTCGCGCATTATTGTTTTCATTTAGACGATGTAATGTATGTCTACTTACAAAACACCAAATAAACAAATAATAACCACGGTATGTGCAAAGTATAGAACTTTGGCGACCATATATAAGCTCTCGATATGCTTCAGACTGAAGTTCAGTAGCATGTGCATCCTACTTTCGTTTTAACAGGAAGGGAAACTTCGCAAGGTTAAGGTCAAGTCAAGTTAACCAGAGTTTTTCTGCAAAAATATCGAAAATTTCTAAGTAATTTTAAGTCTACTAACACACATTTATTAGAATTATTGATATTTAACTATTTTTTGGATTTGTTTCTTTATTTTCCTTTATATTTGAGCAAGTTAGTAGATATTTATTACATGCGCGTTTTTTCCCTGTTTCCAAAAATAGCGGACTGACTTTCAATCGTAACAAACGCCAAACACCTTCACTTTATATCACAATTTCACAAATAATTCGCATATTTTCACATCTTAATTACCTATTTTTCAATGTGTTGTAGTTGTATAATACATTTTGATAGATTCTGAATAATTCACAGCTCATTTATACGTTTTATACGTTTTATGTGACGAAGCGCTAATTTCAGACTCAGACCCAACATATTGGGTTCCCGCACGCAAGCGTTTGTGACGTCAGACCCAATATATTGGGTTCCCGCACACAAAGGGTTAATAAATAAACTAGTAAGTAAGTAAATTTTATTCAATGTCAGCATTTTATGCATTGCATAACAAGAAAATTGAGAAAAAACTGCAAGTATGTGTTGCGCAACACAATGCTGGAGAATAATGATTATTGGATAATTATATTAACTTTCAATTTCTATTCTTCATGATCAGCCTGTGTTTTATTTGACACCCCTTAATTATCATAAACAGCTAATTAAAGAGAGTGGAATGTCCTTAAAATCAGGGTTATGTCTGCAAGTGACATACTGATTCTATATAGAATTATAGCTTGCCAGAGCCAAAGTCTTGGTGAGCTTATGCTGTGACCATATCGAGTTTCAGGTCACAGAGTACAAAAATATTGAGTACCGGTAATTAGCCATAACTTAAAAATAAGAAACTTTTAAGCTTATCCGAAAGACAAATGTGACTTGTGACTATACAATCGGCCTAATAGGGCTAGGCAAAAATACTGATATTTTCATATATTGCAATACAATGACAAAAATATCGTATCACAATACGTTTTTGTAATATCGATATACCATCAAATTCTTTGACTGAGGAATTTTATCATTAAATAAAAGAACAAATGTAAGAAATATTGTAGTTAAGCCAAACAGTAAGACAGGAACTGTGTTATGGCTGTATTTCAGAGCATAAATTTAATGAAGATATCAACAAGATTTTTTCTTTATTCTGCTTTTTTATCATAGCAATGTAGATTCTGCATGTAAATTAAATGTAATATAAAGAGAAAATGTCATTTTAATGATGTTAAAAGCCCAGCCCTATTCAGTCCTGTACCAGATGTATGAAATGAAAGGAGATCTTCAGTTAGGATGATGCTGTAATGAAAATAGTTGTAAAAATGCATAATACAAAAAAAAAAAAAGAAATTCTGCCTCCCTTTATAATCCAAAAGCTTTAGAACTTGTTCAAATCAGTTAATGGTTCATGCATGTTATTTTTGAAAACATAAAGGAGTCTACTTGGTTAATTAAAATAAATAAATAATTCAAGGAAACTCAGGTAATTCAAACTATTTGAAGTATATTAATAAATAAACTGCAAGTATGTGCTGCGCAACACAATGCTGGAGAATAATGACTATTGGATAATTATATTAACTTTCAATTTCTATTCTTCATGATCAGCCTGTGTTTCATTTGATGTCCCTTGTCATAAACAGCTAATTAAAGAGAGTGGAATGTCCTTAAAATCAGGGTTATGTCTGCAAGTGACAGACTGATTCTATATAGAATTATAGCTTGCCTGAGCCAAAGTCTTGGTGAGCTTATGCTGTGACCATATCGAGTTTCAGGTCACAGAGTACAAAAATGTTAAATAGTCAGCCATAACTTAAAAATAAGAAACTTTTCAGCATATCCCAAAGACAAATGTGACTCGTGACTACAATCAGCCTAATAGGGCTGGGCAAAAATACTGTAATTTAGGTATATTGCAATACAGTGACGAAAAATATTGTATCGCAATACGTTTTTGTAATATCGATATACCAGCAAAATTCTTTGACTGAGGAATTTTATCATTAAATAAAAGAACAAATGTAAGAAATATTGTAGTTAAGCCAAACAGTAAGACAGGAACTGTTTTAGGGGGGTATTTCAGAGTATAAATTTAATAAAAAATCAACAAGATTTTTTTAATTCTGCTTGTTTATCATAGCTATGTAGATTCTGCATGTAAATAAAAGTTAATATAAAGAGAAAATATCATTTTAATAATGTTAAAAGTACATATCGCAATACATTTAAAAATATCGCAATATATTGCAATACGAAATCTTTAGCCAATACCCAGCCCTATTGCCTAATATTCCTGATACTTGAAAAAATTCAATATTAAGTAATTGCATGTTACTTTTGAAATTTCAAATTTGGGTAATGTTTCAGTGTTTTTCCCTAGCAAATTGACAGCTTCAATTGACAAAAATGCTGCTTTGAAATATAAAAAATTAAAATTTAATTCACCATGTTGTTTATAAACCTCAGTCCCTATCCTGTTACAACTGATGGATTATGTATCCAAGCACTCCTCATTACATCAAAAGAATACTTGCTGATCTACATAAACCTTTAATACAAGTTTATTGATTTTTTTCTCAGGGTTCAAGAGAACAACAAAGGGGTTTGACTGTAAGACACAGTGTACAGGACGCACTTACATGTATGTCTTACCAACGTATGCCCTCGCTCCAGAAAAAATGGTGAGTACATTTAAATTTGACCCACCTTTGGCTCTATAATGAATGGTGAATACATGTATTGACTCAGGTGAGCAGTGTGGCCCATGGGCCTCAAGATATTACTTAAGGTCAGACGACACTTTCCTCAAACATATGTTTTGTATCTCCTGGTATTAAATGTATATAAAAATCATTAATAATTGTTGTCTTGCTTTTGTGATTTCTACATTGTTGTCAGTATATTCAGAAAAATAAATAAGTACACCCAAAATTTTGACCTTGGTCATTTAGAAGATTACCCATAAGGATTGTAAATTAAATACATGTATCACCCTCTGGTATCTTGCCCAACTGCCTAATAGTAACTTAAAGTATCATATTTTTTGTGAGGATTTTTTATGTGCCTGATAGATCCAGGGCATATATTGTTTTTGTCCCGACCTCTATGCTGAAATAGCTTTTTTTTAACTTTGTTGCCGCATGGCGTATAATGTTTCACAAACACATCTTGTTTTAAAATAGCAAAAATGTATTTCAATGTCACATTCTTGAGAAAAATTATTTATTTTTTAGGAATGTGTCATCTGTCCTTGAGTTGTTTTGAGAGTTAATCAGAGGATCTGTTAATAAAATGATTGTTAGAGTACAGATATTACTATTGATAAAAGTTATTATTAAGGCAAGTTTTACTGATACTCAATTTCACATTTGGAAAAATCACATTGCTTAAAGTTTATTTTTTTTTTTATATTATTCTTCAATTCAATTAAGAAATAATTAATATGTTTTATATTAGTTGTCTACATCTTTGTTATGTTTTTTCTCAAGTTGAAATATGTTTTTCAAAAACTCATTAAAAAAAAGCAGTAAAAAATAACAAATAAATTGATAAAACAGAATTTTTCAAGCAAATAATTAACACAATTTTTTACTTTCATTCAAATTCAAACTGTGAATCAATGATAATTGACCATGGGAGAAATTACATATATAGCATGTACAAGAGAAATTTATTTTTTAAAAGATACAAACAAAAATATTTATGCTTTTTAATATTTACAGAAAATAACAGAAGAATACAGAACAACAGGTAATGCAATAACTATAAACTCTGTGTGTCTAACATACAACAATGTAACATCTGTGTGTCTAACATACAACAGTATAACATCCATTGTCTAACATACAACAGTATAACATCATACAACAGTATAACATCTATTCTAACATACAACAGTGTAACATCTGTGTGTCTAACATACAACAGTATAACATCTATGTGTCTAACATACAATAGTGTAACACATGTGTGTTTAACATACACTAGTGTAACATATGTGTGTCTAACAAACACTATGTAACATCTGTGTGTCTAACATACACTAGTGTAACATCTGTGTGTCTAACAAACACTAGTGTAACATCTGTGTGTCTAACATTTAAGAAATAAACCACGTTATTTAGTGAACATGGCGTTATGAATAGCAATTGCTCTGCTGGCATATTCCATGATGCTCGCTAACGCATCATGGAAAATATGCCAGCAGAGCTATTTGCTATTCATAATGCCATGTTCACTGAATAATCGTTGTTTATTACTTATATTTGCATTCTTTGATTTTTTTCTTGTCTTCAGTAAAGAAAAACATAACGTTACGGCTTTAAAATCAGTAAACCTGATTAATGCTCCTTTTCTCTAATTAATCACAAACATATTTATAAACTATTTCCCTTTCAAACACAGTTATCTGGATACAAGCAGCGCCATCATCACATTTTTGTTTTGTTGCAGTTGTGACGTCATTGATCAACGTTATTAAAACCCGCTGACGAAAATCAATAATTTAAAACTATGATGAAAAAAGAGAATGCTTTTATAACGATTATTATTCAAGAATGCTTTTCTATATTTTTTTTTAGTTTTTCTATTTATTTTTAATAGCTGAAATCATTTTTGAAATATGCTAGTTAAAGATTTTTTTTTTTCCTGAATGTTATTACCCAAGTGTGAAGAGTTATCGTTCTTTGTTCAAATATGCATGATACAAAAAATAAAAATTTGGCAGTTCTCTACAATTTTTAAAAAGTTTTATTTTACAATTAAATGCATTGACCAAAATTGAAATTTTAAAGATATAAATCAGCAATTTTAAATATTCTGAATTTCTTTTTTTTCAAAGAATATTATTAAAAACTTATTTTTATTCCTCTTATGAAACATTTCGTATATATACTTCTCAACACAGTATGTAAGTGTAGTAGAAATTGTTCTACACGAACATGCTATCTAGCAATTGCACTCATAGTAGAAGCAATTGCGTCTATAGTACTATGAATGCAATTGATGATTACATGTTCATAGTGGGAGAGTGCAGTGGATATGCAAATATACACTAGTGTAACATATGTGTGTTTAACATACACTAGTGTAACATCTGTGTGTCTAACATAAACTAGTGTAACATATGTGTGTCTAACATACACTAGTATAAAATATGTGTGTCTAACATACAATAGTGTAACACAATAATCCATCTAAGTACATCAAGACCAAAGTCATTGTAAGAAAAAATAGAAAGTCTTTGGGCTTATAAGGACCATCATTGCACAGCATACTTCAGACTCCAAACTTCACAATGTGGCTTGAGATTATGAACCAGGACCAAACTTTCATGGATAAGTCAGCAAGAAATGGTGTATAATTGTCCTTGTTTCTCGCCAATAAATGATCAACTTTAATCAACGCTAAATATTTTCTGAATCATTTTATTTTTAAATTTGAATTTGACAGCTTACTTACCTATAGATTAATTCATTAAGATGAATTTTACAGTCTTTAATTACCTTCGTATTGTTTTATACACACAGATGAAATTCTGGCACGTGCAAATGATGTTCTGAAATTATACACAGGAACTCACAACTTCCACAATTTTACCTCAGGAATGTAAGTATGACATTTTTAAGGGGGAAAAATATCAAAATTTCATTTATAGGCATTTTTATTATCTGTTTTTGACTATATACACTTAGACAGTTGCATATAAAAAAAATCAGCTTGTAAGAAATAGTTTATTTCAGTGATTTATTTTTGCAGAAAGCCCACGGAACAGAAAGCTAAGCGGTACATTATATCGTTTGAGGTCAGTAAATACGAGATGCATATGTTTTGGGGATATGAACTTCTACTGAACACATTTTAGGAAAAACACACTCTGTGAAATAGTTTCTAAACTTTCTATGAACATGTATTATAGGGTTATTGAACTTATATTGGTGAATATTGGCACAAGTTGGCTGTATGTATGTTGGTACAAATGCACGAGCTTGCGAGTTCAATAAATCCTTTATTATATAGCTAAAACATTTCCACACAATTTATCATAATAATTCCAACTAACAAAAACCTCAAATTAATGATTTTTTAGTATCGTAATTCAAATTAAGATCTGTCCTGTAAGTGTCCAATATCACATCATTCCGATGACCCTACCAAGTGATATGATTTGCTTATTTAGGTTTTAATGAGTCAAATACGTACTAAATTTTTCATAATTCATTTCATTTTGTGTGAAAAATAAACACATTTTACCTATAGATGCCACTTCCTTTCTTCAATTTAGCTCTGAGAATTTGACTAGACGACTTTTTTTGTTTACAACGGGACGTTCGATATTGAACGCTCGTATTCGGAATGTTTTGGGCATACTCGTATACGTAATGCGAACTTAGCGTTCAATAAAACTTCTAGATATTGAACGCTAAAATTCTCTAGATTTTTGATAGTATTTTATTAGGGACTATTTATTAGCTATATAATAATAAATAATTTTGATAGAACTGTTCAGTACTTTGTCAATTTAAAAGCCCAAAAATATAAGGATTGAATATTGAATTCATTAATGCAGACTAATACATAAATTGCCAGTCTGAGCTGTTATTGTGAAAATGAAACCAAATTTCTACCTGAAATACCATCAAAATTGATATCAAATTTTTATTAAAAAAAAAAAAATAGAATGTGTCAGTTACATATGACTGTATAAGTACTTGTATAAAGCACTAATTTTCAAGTGGTTGTTACACAAGTCAGGTAAGGAGTATCTTAGTCAGTGTTTAGCTCACCTGATCAAAATACTGAGGCAAGACTTTCTGGTTTTATTTGACTGTCTCTCTGCCCAAGTGTCCTCAGTATTAAAATTTTTATACTTGGGTCAAAACTACATGAAAAACATTGTTTATACAAATATTGAAGATTAATGTTTATCCTAATCATTATCTCTAAAAACTTGGATAGGGCCACAGTAGGTGTTCAACTTTTTCACAGGAAAAAAAATCTTGAAAGACTGTTATAAACAGTATACAGTTATGGAGTGGGTTTGAGGGAAATAGCAAATTTATGGTTCCCAAAGGGAAGAAAATATTTCCCGAGACACGAATTTGCATGTTACATCTATTTGCTGTATTATGGGTTTACCTCAAGAAATACATTTTCATGATTTTAATTGTATATCACAAGAAAGGTTTTATTATACACACAAACACTGTTTGTGTGTATCTGTTTGTCAAACAGATATATTTCATATGTCAGTGCATGAAACCCCCCCCCCCATGTTAGGTTATACTGGTGTGATTGAGGATGAAATACATTTTCTTTTTCAATGTAATTCTTACTCTAAGCTAAGAAACACATTCTTTAGTAATATTTATAACATAACAAAGAAAAATAATAATTTTAGCAATGAGAAATATATGTTACAATTATATGGAAAAAGTAATATACAAAAAGTCTTGAAAGTTACTGTTAAATTTATCAGAGACTGTTTTGAACTTAGAAGTCAATTACTTGACAATTTTTGAAAAATATGTAAACATTTAATGATGTTCAGTGGGCCTTTGCCAATTATTGTAATTGTGTTTGTGCCAATAAAGTATTTGTATTTGTATGAAGGTTTTGTTTTTGTTAAATTAATCTGCTGATGTAAAGTGTTTAAGAGACAGAGAGTGTCAGACATGATAATTTCTTATCAATTAAAATTATGACAAATTTAAGGTCACAATGAATCATACAGGTGACTTTTTTAATTTGTTTTGATCCAAACCTGAACATTTGCCTGTATAAAAAACAGTGCCTATGCCAATGTCCCTTTTTTAAAGGCATATCAACAATACTAAGAGAAAATAGTAGCTTTAGACCAGTTCTAGATCCATAAGACTAGAATTACAAAAAAACAAAACTTATTTAACGTAGAACCTACATCGTACATATGTATGACATCATAACTAGTGAATGTGTGTAGCCTGTGCTAGATCCATTATGATGTCATAATTATACCCTGTTCAAACGACGAGTTTAATTCGCAGTAAATTAATGCGAAGTAAACTAATGCGAATCAAACTAATGCGAATTAAATTGCGTTCACACGACAGCTAATGTGAAGTAAACTAATGCGAACTAAAAATCTTCTTCTAAACAGATAAACACATTTTAGTGATTATCACAATTTTCCTTAGTTTTTCGCTCAAAAATAGCACAAATACTTCAAGCTGACCACAGACATGTGGCATTTGACCTAATTTTTCCATTACGCATGTCTCAAAAATTAATTCGAATTAGCTTCACTTAGCGTTCACACGGAGCTAATGCGAAGTAATTTAATGCGTAGTAAACTAATTCGATTTAAACTAATTTGCATTAAATTCTCCATGTGAACGCTAAGCGAAGCTAATTCGCAGTAACTTTACGTTTAATTCGAGTTAAACTCTCCTTGTGAACAGGGCATTAATTCAATTTCAATCATTTTGTAATCATTTTGGTATGTTCTTCATCATAATAAAGATTGAAAACATTGTGACAAAGGCTTCTGAAAAATATTTACAACTGTAGGGTGGAAAATTGATTAAAAAAATAGAGTTCGTTTGCCTATTTTTTTTTTTGAAATGTGGACTTATCTTTTATGTCAGTTGAATTAAAAAGAAATTATTCTTAAGAAATATTGCTTAATATTGTGCAGTTAATAAAGTCTATAAACGAAGATGTTTGGAGAAGTATTTTTGTGATTTTTCATATTCTCTTCTTGACAAGAACACCTAAAAATAACTGAAAATGTGTAGTCGCAGTATGTAATTACCATTCCAAGTTTCACAGGCTGTACTACATTTAAAAACAAGGAAACATATCATGAGCTTTTAACTGATTGACATTATTTATTACATTGACTGTATAGATTCAGTTTCATGAAATATCCATATGGTTGGCTTACAATGAGAAGTTCAGTATGTTCAGGCCACAATAAGTATTGGAACAATCTGTAACACAGAAATAAAAAAAAAAAAACATGTCAAATTTAAGGCTATGATTTTGTAAGACAAATGCATAAGAATCTCCTTATTGTTAAAAAAAAGTTCTTAATAAAAAGAAAGATTTTTATACAAGACAAGAAGATTGAGCATTTCACAAGGAGATAGGATATTTGAAAAATGAATTTTTTTAGCACTCTGATGACCTTAAAATTCCAATATCTGTATAATATGGAAAATTAATAAATCAATAAGGGAAATTTTTTTTTAAAAAGCTATGCCATCAAACATTAATATGAATACTCCCGGTGTAGCATAATATTTTAATACCGCGATATATTGAACCCGGGTTCGAAATATCGCATAATATTTTGAAACCGGGTTCACTTTTTCGCTGCGATATATTGAACCCCCTTATAAAATATTGAACCCCTACCTTTTTCATTTAAGAGGTAGGGGGTTCAAAATATTATGGCCATAATATACCGAGTCCCCCTGCCCATTTAATTTTACAGGGAGGGGGGTTCAAAATATTATGGTCATAAAATATTGAACCCCCCCTGTCCTTTTTAATTTTAGAGGGAGGGGGGTTCAAAATATTATGGCCATAAAATATTGAATCCTCTGCCTTTTTGATTTAAGAGGGAGGGGGGTTCAAAATATTATGGCCATAAAAAATTGAGTCCCCCTGCCCTTTTAATTCAAGAGGAAGTGGGGTTCAAAATATTATGGCCATAAAATATCGAGTCCCCTACCCATTTAAATTTACAGGGAGAGGGGTTCAAAATATTATGGCCATAAAATATTGAGTCCCCTGTCAATTAATATTTACAAGGAGAGGGGTTCAAAATATAATGGCCATGAAATATTGAGTCCCCCTGCCCTTTTAATTCAAGACCAATTGGGGTTCAAAATATTATGGCCATAAAATATTGAGTCCCCTACCCATTTAAATTTACAGGGAGGGGGTTCAAAATATTATGGCCATAAAAAAGTGAGTCCCCATGCTCTTTTAATTGATGAAGGAGGGGGTTCAAAATATTATGGCCATAAAATATTGACCCCCCCTGTCCTTTTTAATTTTAGAGGGAGGGGGGTTCAAAATATTATGGCCATAAAATATTGAACCCTCTGCCTTTTTGATTTAAGAGGGAGGGGGGTTCAAAATATTATGGCCATAAAAAATTGAGTCCCCCTACCCTTTTAATTTTACAGGGAGGGGGGTTCAAAATATTATGTCCATAAAAAAGTGAGTCCCCATGCCCTTTTAATTGATGAAGGAGGGGGTTCAAAATATTATGGCCTCCCTCTTAAATTAAAAGGGCAGGGGGACTCAATATTTTATGGCCATAATATTTTGAACCCCCCTCCCTCTTTAATTAAATGGGTTGGGGACACGATATTTTATAGCCATAATATTTTGAACCCCCTCCATGTAAAATTAAATGGGCAGGGGGATTCAATATTTTATGGCCATTAAATATTGAACCCCCTCCCTCTTAAATTGAAAGGGCAGGGGACACGATATTTTATAGCCATAATATTTTGAACCCCCTCCCTCATCAATTAAAAGGGCAGGGGGATTCAATATTTTATGGCCATAATATTTTGAACCCCCTCCCTGTAAAATTAAATGGGCAGGGGGATTCAATATTTTATGGCCATAATATTTTGAACCCCTTCCCTGTAAAATTAAAAGGGCAGGGGACTCAATATTTTATGGCCATAATATTTTGAACCCTGGGTTCAATATTTTATAGGGGGGTTCAATATTTCGCAGCGATATTTTGAACCCGGGTTCAAAATATCGCGGGGTTCAATATATTATATGACACCGGTACAAATAAATGTTTAAAATAAACCTTGTACTTTCAGTGTGGAAAGCCTTACATCAGAGAGGGAGTAGAGTTTGTCACGTGTAAAGTCCGAGGCCAAAGCTTCATGCTGCATCACATCAGAAAAATGATAGGTAGCTAATTAAATATTATAATATTGAAGAATTCGAATATATGTTTTCAGCAAAGCCTTGTGTAACTGTCCTGTTTGTAATGGGCTTTTCTATCAATAAAGAAATACCAGAAGTTTTACATGTAAGGGACGCAGCTTGTACAATAAAGCTTCTGTTTTTAGGACTGATGATTGCCATAGTAAAGGGTTATAGAATTGTACAATGTAATCATACAGACTTTGTACATTAGAGCTTCTGTTTTTAGGACTGATGATTGCCTTAGTAAAGGGTTATAGACATTGTACAATGTAATTAGACCCAGCTTGTACAATAAGGCTTCTGTTTTTAGGAAGGGTTATAGAATTGTACAATGTAATCAGACACACCTACATATAGTACTATTAAGCTTCTGTTTTTAGGACTGATGATTGCCATAGTGAAGGGCTGCTGTAAGGAAGATGTGTTACAGTTAGCTTGGGGACCAGAAAAGGTGAGACTTACATCAGTCTGATGTCAGGAATAGTGTCGTACATCATGTGCCTGTTTTGTATTTGTGTTATTGAAATTTTTTCCTGTTAACAAGAGAAGTAAGTGAACTTTTTCTGATTAAAGTTTGTCCATTAGTAATTTGTCTACAGCTTTTTCGAGCTGTTCCATTCAAGTCTTCAAGCCATCTTTAAAATATTTGCCCTCTCCCAACTGACTGGCTAAAAATGGCCAATTTCTTAACTTTTTTTGTACATTCCCATATTTTTTTCTTTTATTTTTATAATCCTTTCAACAAATATGTTGAAATTTTCTGGAAAAAAAGATTACAATTGCAACCTACCCACTGACCCAAAGATTTTACCCTGAGTCGGAAGAGGGCAAACAAACAATTTAACATTTTGCAAAGCATACCTTGGTGAATCTCATTATTTACCTGAAAAACCCCTTCAAACGGGAGAAAATCAGGGAAATAGTAATACTATGGTTATTGGGCTTAGCCTAGTGATTGGTCATGGCATACAGAGATAATAGCTGAAATTTAAAAAGTCGCAGCGCCACACAAGCATTATCACAATCTTATATAGAATGCAATGCAAAACATGGAAGAGATTATCTCTAACATGCATTCATAAAAAATTACACACTTTTTGCACTGCTTGCAATTGTTACTCTCAACTGTGCAAGGTATAACATTTGTCAAAAAAATCATCCATCTTATGTAAATGAAGCAAATGTTATTAGATGTAACCTTTAGAAGGACCTTGCTGCTTATTCCCGGTTATGTTTATTTACGGCATACGAAGAAATTAACCTACACCTCTATGAAGAACAAGCCAAGATGGTAGCATTTCGAACAAAACGGGAACGTGTATTCGCCTGGATTAGAGCTCTACAAATTATATACTTAGAAAAGCTGAAAATGTGTAACTCTGTAGAAGTCAAATGGTATAACAATCCAGAAAAGTGGGATATTACCAACAATACCCTAACAAACCATTCTATTTGCATAGACATTGGGGATGATACTAGTCTACACTACAAGATAACATTTTTTGTGTCAACCGGCACTATTCAGGTCCAGGGAAATGGAAAAGATGCATTCGTGACCAAAATCTTCCCACTGCTGAAAGAATTAGTGAATAGAATTACTGCGTCGACCGAAGGAGAGGAAACCACCCTTAAATCTGTAACTGAAAGTCCGCAAAGCCAGAACTCTGTGAGTTATTTGAACCAGGAACAATTGCTAAATGGTGAACATAGCCAAATTGTTTCAGTTTCCGTGCATGACCTGGATAGATTTCAAGAAAGTATGGTCCTAGCTTTAGAAGAAATGAGCAAATCTCACACTGGACTCACGAAAACCTTAGAAACAAGATTCTTAAAAGGTTTGGAATCACTTCAAAGTACAGTTAGTACTCTTTCTTTAGCCGTTGAAAACTTGAGCAGCCAGTACAGTAAAATGTCAACAACACCAAATAAATCAAGAAGTCCTGAAAATGAAATTAACTCAATAAAAAACAAGCTTAAGAAATCAGATGAAATCAAGAATGAACTTCAAGTTAAAATCGCAAATCAACAACTTGAATTAGAAACTAAAGAAGCCCAACTGAAGAATGAAAAAATCATGCACAATACATGCAAACACCAACTCCTTGACTTGTTGGAAGCAAACAAATCAGAAAGCTCAACATTAGTGGAAAAACTAAAAACAAAAAATGAAGAGTTACTCAACATGGAAAATGAAAACAAAATCCTCAAAGAAAAAAACGAGGCACTTTTTAAAGAGATTCTTGGTTTGAAAATGCATGTTTCGAGTATGGAATCTAACAGTGAGAAATTTACATGTGTAGGAGAAAAGAAAGTTGAAGAAAATCACTCTTCACCAAATGAGCCTCATAAGGGATATAAGACTTCTCCCAAGACAAACCCCCTAAACCCAAAGTCCTGTTAGTGGGGACATCTAACACTAAGAAGATTAATCCAGACATTCTTAGTTCATCATTCATAACAACAAAGAAACTTACATACACAATTGATGAAACCAAGGATACCATAGTAAGATATGAGGATGCAGCACCAGATGTTGTCGTTCTTCATCACCTCACCAATGATGTAAAGGCAAAAAGTCCTGAGACTTGTGTTAACGAGACGGAAGAATTCATCAACATCATCACTCAAAAATGGTCAGCCAAAGTGGTTCTGTCACTATGTACTCCTCGTAAAGACGACGAATTACACAGTGCAAATAGTGCTCTAATCAACGCCCTACTAAAGAAGAAATACAAAAGTGACTCAGTCGTTTATATCAGTGAAAACATAAACATGTCTAATAGGCCTGCCAAGGTCCTTGAAAGGGACAATGTTCATCTTACACAAGATGGTGTTGCCATGTTAGCATCCAATATCAAAAGATCAATCCTTCTAGCTTTAGGAATTGAGCAGGCTCCATTGCAGATGGGAAAAGACCAAGACCCTGACTATCACCGTGCTTCACCAAATAAGTTGTACAAATACCAGCGAAAGTGGCGAAACTACCAGTACGCACCATCCGAACCATGGGAAGGGAGACCTTACCATCCTGCCAGCTATGGCTTTAACTACAATTACTAAATTTTCTTTTTTATCATCATATCAGATGTTACTTATCAATTACACTGATGATATATATAAACAATGCCATTCTTTTAACGGGTATTTCAATGTATGAATTTCATTCACGAATATTGTACCACTTCCACTTATCGTTGCACCTGTACTCATGAATGTCATGTTTATTTGCAACTGATTTATTATTTTTTTCTTCTCACATATTGTTACTACTAGATTATACATTGTATTAGATGTTTTGAAGGATGTTGTACCTTTTCTCTTGATTTGGGTTTGAAAATTTGGTATTTTTTCTTAGAATGTATCAGATGTACAGAAAAACAAATGTTAAATGTGCTTTTTGGAATATTGGAGGATTGATATCAAAAGGTATGAACAAAATGGATGACGAGCTTTTTCTATCAAAAATTATAGATAAAGATTTAGTATTTCTTGTGGAAACACACATTGGACCAGGTACAGTTGTATTACATGATGATTTTTACTGCCACACAATTTGTAGAAATATATCTAAAAATGGCAGATACTTTGGAGGGATATCAATATTAATTAAGCATGAGATTAAAGATCATGTTTCTGTAATTAAAAATACATGTAGTGAGTATCAATGGATCAAATTAGAAAAAACTTTTTTTAATTTTGATAAAGATTTGTATATATGTACTGTTTACAACCCCCCTGAGGGATCACCTGCAATAACACGAAATAATGTTAATATTCTGGAACTCGTACAGAAGGATATTAATCAATATAAAGATTTAGGAAATATAATGCTTTGTGGAGATTTTAATGCTAGAACAGGAAATGCAACTGATTATATACTAGATGATAACAACCAATATTTACCCTTATTTGAAACATATAAAATTGATAATGATATTTTCAAAAGAGTTAATAGAGACACTTGTGTGGATAAGAGAGGAAAAGAACTAATAGATTTTTGTATTGGAAACCAACTTCGTATTATGAACGGAAGATGTTTTGGTGACATTTTTGGAAATTTCACTTGCCATAATTATCATGGAAGTAGTGTTGTTGATTATCTTTTAACTGATGAAGAAATTGTACAACGTATTTTGTTTTTTGAAGTATCAGATTTTATTTCCACATTATCTGACTGCCACTGTATGTTATCATGGAATATTTTTTCTCAACATGATTCTTCTAATAGAGAAAATAGTATAGATAATGATAATTACAAGAACCATTCATCCTTTAAGTGGGGGGAAGACTCTGCTATTAAATTTATAGAGGCATTACAATCCCCCAAAATAAAATGCAATCTTGATAACACCATGAGCATCAATGACATAGAATCTATAGAATCGACAATAAATAGATTAAAAGATTCCCTGGAAGCTGCAGCCATTATGTCATTAAAACCAAACTTACCTAAAAATAAAACATGTAAAAGTAATAAAAGCTCTGCTAAACATAAAAAGAAATGGTTTGATAACGAGTTGATAAATATGCGCTCAAAACTAGTTAGGAAGGGAACTTTATTTGGCCACTACCCCAGAGATATCAATATTAAGAATCAATATTACAAAGCATATAGAATATATAACAAACTACGAAAACAAAAATTTAGAACATACCATTCTAATATTATCAACAACCTAAATGCTTTAAATTCAACTGATCCAAAAAAATATTGGAAACTTATAGGCGAATTAAGAACTGGAAATACAAAGACAATTGATACATCAATCTCTAATAATGAGTGGTTAAACCACTTCAAAAAATTGAATAAAACTCATGAGGATTTCCTCGATTGAGATCAGTTTCTTAAAGACCAACTAAAACAAGCTGAGAAAACATCAACGCCCATATTTAATGAACTTGACTACAAAATATCTTTCAATGAAATAAGTAAAGCAATAGGTAAACTAAAAAATGGTAAGGCAGCTGGTACTGATAGAATATGCAATGAAATGCTTAAACATGGTCAAACGGTCTTGGTACCAATATTACTGAAAATCTTTAATGGTTGCTTAACTCATGGATATTATCCTTCTTCATGGTGTGAAGGATACATTACTCCAGTATACAAATCTAACAACACTAATGATCCCAACAATTATAGAGGAATCACAATAACCAGCTCAATTGGCAAACTCTTTAACTATATTCTTAACTCAAGATTAGATAAATATTTAAAATGCAATGATAAAATCAATCCTTGTCAAATAGGATTTACAAAACAAGCTAGAACTTCAGATCATGTTTTTGTCTTGAAAACACTTGTTGAAAAATACTGCAAATCAAAACAAGGGAAGCTATATGCTTGCTTTGTTGACTTTCATAAGGCCTTCGATAGTATAAACCATGCTGGTCTGAAGCTTAAACTACTAAAAGCTGGTATTAGCACTAAATTTTACTCAATTGTTAAGGATATGTATTCTAAAAGCTATTCTTCTATTAAACTGGGTAACAAATTAATTGGTCACTTCCGTACTTACAATGGGGTTAGACAAGGTGATAACATGAGCCCAAACCTATTCAAGATTTATCTCAATGATCTATCAAATTATCTGTCAAATTCTAAGAGTTTTGTAAAATTAAACAATGATTCATCTATGTCCATTCATTGCCTAATGTATGCTGATGACATGGTACTTCTCTCCCCAACTGCTGAAGGTCTACAAGAAAAACTCGATATACTAAGTACATACTGTAAGGACTGGTGTCTCAAAGTTAATACAAAGAAAACAAAAATTATAGTCTTCAATTCATCTGGTAAACACGTTAAAATTCCCTTCCATCTGGATAACAACAATATTGAATGTGTTAAACAATACAAGTATCTGGGTCTGACTGTTAATGCATCTGGAACACTAAGTAATGCTAAAAATGATTGTTGTAACAAAGCCAAAAAAGCCTATTTCAAACTTCAAAAAGACTTTCTCACATTTAATCCATCAATTAGAACTGCTTTAAATGTATTTGACCACACTATTAAACCCATTATCCTGTATGGTTCAGAGTTATGGGTTTTTTTTGACCCAACAACCTCTAAATTTAAGAGAAATCCAAATATAACACTAGACAAAATATACCAAAGCTTAGAAGGCGAAATTCTAAATCTTAAATTTTATAAACATTTACTAATGGTTCATGGTAAAAGCAGCAATTTTGCTGTAAGATCTGAGCTAGGACGTTTGAATTTACATTTTGATGTCATTAAAAATATGTTGTTATACTGGCATAGATTAGAGAATCTAGATGGTGAATTTCCCTTGCTTAGTGAGGCTTTTAACTGCTCTAAAACACTACACCAAAATGGTTTTACTTCATGGTATCCTTGTGTTAACTTCTTACTTAACCATATTGATATTAAAATTAGTGATTTCCTAGGTATGTCAACCCCACAATTTAAAATCAATTTGAAAAGAATATTACTGAATTTCTATAAATTAACATGGGAAAAAGACAGGAATTTACATAAAGATGGCAAATTGTCTACCTTTACCAGCATAAAGACTAAATTTTGTTTTGAACCTTATCTAGATATTCTTACAAACAATCAACATAGATCAGTTTTAACAAAGTTAAGAATATCGGCTCACAGGCTTAAAATTGAAATTGGACGTTATCAAAAAATACCTAGAGAGGAACGAATTTGTTCACTTTGTCATCACAACGAGATTCAGGATGAAATTCATTTTCTCCTTGTATGTCCTCATCTTAATGTACAAAGACTTGAACTCATAAATATTTGTAAAATTAAATGTAAAAATTTTCAGTCTCTATCTTATGATAATCAATTTTATTGGCTCATGACTAATGAAGACCCAGACATCCTTAGATCACTTGCTGGATTCCTTAGTAATTTACCTTAATTGAAGATATTGTGATAAGCATAAAAAAAAAAAATTATATACCTTTTTCCCAGTTTCTTGCCTTTAACTATATATATATATGTATAAATTATATATATTTGTATGTAACTTACAATACGATACATGTATGTATATTCAGTATATCTCTTATATACTTTTTTTGGGTTTTTTTTTTAACAATTGCTCTTTATTTGTAATATCATCATCATGCTTGTTCTATCATTTGGATCCTCCTCCTTCTATTTGTAAATCTTTTTGCTCCTCCGGGGGCCCAAATTGGATTAATAAAATCTTGTATCTTGTATCTTGTATCTTTACTTCATACATCATGACTAAACTTTGACTGCTTTGGAAATTTAACATGTTTTTGCAAATTTAGTCACAAAAAGGAGGGAATATGGGCATGTTATGGTAATTTCATCTCGAAAACAGAGGTTTCTTTCAATAATTAAGGTCTTCCGTTTCCAACGGAAGACCTTCTACTGATTCTGATGATTAAGATTATTCTTATTATTCTTTTTTTTTTCCTTTTCCTAGACGCCAACTTTGAGGCCTCATATTTCACTCATTTCTCAATGGATTTTGCTCATTGACAAATTTTCAGAGTTTATAGACATTACTAAACTCTATCAGAATTTTGTCTAGCATTCCAAAATTTCAGCTCCGGTTTTGAGTTATTTCCCTTTAAACGAAAATTTATAGGCTTTCATTTCCAGACAAAGGCTCGGAGATGGCAAAAGCTGGAGCAGAAATTTTACTGATTTTACACAATAGAAGGATTGAAGTTGTGCATGGAGGTTTTTGTTTTTCGATTTCTCTATTCAAAATGGTGCTATATAGGGGTCAAAAATTAGAACGCCTAAAAGAGCGAAAATTTACACATAATTTGTTTTTTTATCTTCTAAACTAAAAATATTTTCTTAAAACATATAGAACAAAATTTGTGCAGAATTACAAGATCTTTGAAATGAAATCTCGAAAAAAGGGCTGACCCCTAAATTAAGGGATCTAGAGGGGCCAAAACTTTTTTCCAGATATCTCAAAAAGTATTGAGAATTTGTAATACGTCTAAGAAGCAAAGTTGTTCAAAATGTCAAGCTTAATCTATTGAAGTTGTCAAAATGCGTCCGGCGACGTCACTTCCGGTTAAACCGGAATGCATCAAAAAATGCATATTTTTGCCGTTCTTGACAAGTTTTTGGGTAACATATGTCACTGCATGCATAAAACTTAATTTTCCGTCCGTCGACATCACTTCCGGTCAAACCGGAAATAGCCAAAAATAGCTTATTTTTTAAGGTTTTGATGCAAAATTGAAATTATAAAGTGACTGGAGACGACTTAGCTCATTGTTTTCTTTTGTTGACATCACTTCCGGTCAAAACAGGACAGAAGACCTACTCGTTGCTTTGCAACGAGCTTTGCTCTAGTTATGTTTCCTTATTTGATGTAACAGTAACTGTTAGATGATGTAGATATTTCCTGTCAGCAGGGCGTATTGATTTCAATATCAGTACAAGATCATGAAGATGTTGTATAAGTTACAAACAAACTGATGAAAATAATATCCTGATTTTTGTTTAACTTGGCACTGATAATTAAAGTGATAATGAACAGAATACAATTCTATTGTGTGTTAAGTATTGACAGAATATGAACACCTGACATTTCCCTTACATGACCTTAAAAATTTTCTTAATTTAATGATATTAAGGCAAGTGAATTTAAAAAAAAATAAATATTAAGAATAAAAGATATTTGCATATACACATGTATATGAAATCTGTTCAGATGTGTGATATATACACTGTTTAGTACAGTTCAAATTATTAAAACTAGCAGTATGATATCCTGATTTAATTACTTTTCTTTTTTTTAAAAGGTAGATGTTCCAAAGGCTCCAGGATTGGGTTTGCTGCTAGATGAGGTACCAGATTCAAAATCTCAAAATTCTATATGTCAATTCAATATCAATCAGAAACAGAGATTAGAATATCCCAATTCAGTGCCGCTTACATGGGTTATATCGATATCTTTTCTGCAACAGCTGCGACATTAATCCCCATACTAACAATCAAAGAAAGACATTTTATTATTTATTAATAATTTAGAGTTGTGTTGTCTGAATTGAAGTGTGTAATTTAAAATTAAAGGATTTTTTTTTGTGACAAAAAATTGCTTTAGCTTTGTATTTGACACCATGAATATCTTGTTTTAAAAGGTTGATGATCACATTTTGTCCGGCGTCCGTCTGTCCGTCTGTCTAGCTGTCTGTAAACTTTTCACATTTTCGACGTCTTCTCAAGAACCGCTGGGCCAAATTTGACCAAACTTGCCACAAAGTATCCTTGGGTGAAAGGGATTCAAGTTTGTTCAAATAAAGGGCCACGCCCTCATTCAAGGGGAGATAATTGAGAATTAGTGAAAATTTGGTGGTATGTTTTAAAAATCTTCTTCTCAAGAAGCACTGTGCCAGGAAAGATGAAACTTATGGGGAAACATCCTCAGGTAGTGTAGATTTAATTTTCTTCATATCATGTCCCCCGGGGGTAGGGCGGGGCCACAATGGCCGACCAAAGTTTTACATAGAAATATATAGGAAAATTCTTTAAAAATCTTCTTCTCAAGAACAGAAAAGCTTTAATTGCTAATATTTATATTGAAGCATCCCCAGGTAGTGTAGATTTAAGTTTGTTCAAATCATGACCCCCTGGGGTAGGGCGGGGCCACAATGGCCGACCAAAGTTTTATATAGAAATATATAGGAAAATTCTTTAAAAATCTTCTTCTCAAGAACAGCAAAGTCATAATTTCTCATATTTATATGGAAGCATCCTCAGGTAGTGTAGATTCAAGTTTGTTCAAATCATGACCCCCTGGGGTAGGGCGGGGCCACAATGGCCGACCAAAGTTTTATATGGAAATATATAGGAAAACTCTTTCAAAATCTTCTTCTCAAGAATAGCAAAGCCATAATTGCTCATATTTATATGGATGCATCCTCAGGTAGTGTAGATTCAAGTTTGTTCAAATCATGACCCCCGGGGGTAGGGCGGGGCCAAACTTTTGGATTTAAACTTTTCAATAGTAAACCAATTACTACTTTTTCCTAGCCACAATGCTCGGGTGAGCGATGTGGCCCATGGGCCTCTTGTTAGAGTTTTGTTTTTAAGGACCCCACTGTCTTTTTTAAGCCTGGAAAAAAAAGTGGCTTCAATATTAGGAACATTTGGATATTTGATCCACAGGCAACTGACGTTACTTATTTTTCTTTTGATAAAAAAATATACCCCTTACCTAATTAGATAGGGGGTATTTTTTTAATTAAAAGAAAAATAAGTAATGTCAGGTGCCTGTGATTTGATCACATGTACATGATTTTAATAGGAGACATTTTTTAATTTAGCATTACAAAACCATAGTAATAATGAATGATTTGAACCAAATATTAATGAATGTAAATGGTATATACATTTATTGTGTCAGTTTTCCTACACTGAGTTTAATCATTTCAGTTGTATTTTGATGGCTACAACAAGAAGTGGGGGAGAGATGGACTACACGAGCCTGTAGAATGGTCTCAGTATGAGGTAGGTCAATGGAAGGAAAAAATAATCAGATGCGAAATCTTTTTCTTAACGTATATGGAGATAAAAATGAAATTGAGACAAATATTATAAAAGACATCAGACTATCTCCAAGATTTTATGCAGGGGATACTTACTCCTCCTTGGCACCTGGTCCCATCTATGGAGTTCTCAGAGGTTCATTTATTGATGCCATCTGTACAGATTTGTATTGTCCATGCATTTTTTTTAGATCAATCACTTTTCGTTATTTTCATTTTTCATTCCATTCCCTTGATCATTCATGATCATAATATACTGCGCATGCATTAAGATGAACAGGCAGGGTTTTTTACCCTGAAGATTTGGTGCAGAAAAAACTTTTGTATTGTGAGTATTATTTGAGTTTTTTGACAAACAGTGTGCTATTTATGGTTCATGTAAAAAGAAAATGGCAGAAGTATCGGAAAGGGAAAGGCGTAGGCTTTCGTCAGACGGGCAAACTGAAAAGCCCCCTAGCAAAATGCTCAAAATGGCGGGTGGAAAGGAGGAATCGAATGTCAAAGATTTTGAAACGAAAATAATTGATCAGATGACTGTTATAGCAGACGCGGTGAGCAGCCTTCAGAAAGGTCAAAAAGAACTAAGGTCGTCGTTTGATAGCAAATTAGACAAATTTCGTAACGAGTTTATGGCAAGCATTGACGACAAATTCAAAGCAATGAAATTAGATTTTGACCTTGAACTTGGGAGACATCAGGGACAAATCGACTCGCTGTCACGGTCTGTTGACACGCTTATTGAAAGAATACAAAAGGTTGAGAATCTAGAACGACCTGAATACGAACAAGAATCGGCTAATGGTACAAACAAGAAAAATCATGCGAACACGCTTTATGATCCTGAGCTCACAATAATCGCCAATAACGTTAGGCAGTGTGAGGATGAGAACATTTTTGAGATTGCTAACAATATGATTAGTCAACTAAGTGATTCTGTCAAAGTAGTTACGGCGGCACGACTAAAGAGCAGAGGTTTCGGTAAACCCGGTTTAGTCAAAATTAGTTTCCGCTCAGTTGACGAGAAAATAGAAGTTCTACGACGGAAACGGGATTTACAGAATGTTGAAGCATATAAATCGGTCTTCCTTAGATCCTCAAAATCACACACTGAGAGACTGATAGAGCTTAACGCAAAAACTATCCTGAATCAGATTCCAAACGGCAACCAATTTCGCATAACTTCCAATGGAAGAATCGTGAAAAAAACTCAAAATTCACAACAAAACAGCTCACCCGACTTTCATGATCAAGATCGCGAGAACCACTAGGGACTTTCCCGGCCTATTGACACTCTAAAATTAGGTCACTTAAATGTCTGCGGTTGGACAAAAGAAAATGGTGAACTTAGAAATCAAATTATTTGTGCACTAAATTATGACATAATTGCCGTTAGTGAAACACACTTAAAAGAAGAAAATGCTATTGAAATTCCAGGTTATAGATGGTTTGGTTTTAATAGAAGAGATATACATGTAAATGCACCGAAACCTTCGGGTGGCGTCGGAATTTTGATAAAAGAATGGTTAACTGATCAGTTTGAGATAATAGTGATTGACAGAAAATTTGATGGTATCCTTGGAATAAAACTGAAAAACTGTAGCTCGGATTTTGAATTCATTGTGTTTGCATGTTACTTACCACCCGAATATTCTAACAGAGGACGAGATGCTCAAGGTTTCTATACACATCTTTTAACACAGATTTATTTAAATTGTGAAAGTGACACTATTTTTGTGATGGGTGACCTAAATTCTAGAATTGGCAATTCGAATGACATACTTCAAGACATTGATCATATTCCTAATCGTAGAGCTATAGACAACACGGTTAATCAACACGGTCATGAATTAATTGACTTTCTCAATGAAGCAAATTTCTGTGTATTGAATGGAAGATTCCCAGATGATAACTTCACATGTATTTCAAGGAAGGGAAAATCTGTGGTAGATTATATATGCATACCAATAGATGTATTTAGACGAATCAAGAACTTTACGGTATTAACTATACAGAATATTGTAGCGGAATTTGAACTATTGAAGTTTGTCGGGGAAAAATCAAAACTTCCTGATCATTCCGTCATCATGTGTGAATTTAATTTATCCGATTGTTGTTTAGTTTCTAGTACCCCAAAAAGTGAACACTGTCAAAATCGTTTTCAATTCAATAGGATCCCAAATGATTTTATGTCAAGCGAATTGAGAAGGTCTGCATTGATAGCAACAATTGATCTGATTGAAAACAGCCGAAAAACACAAGAAAGTATTGACGAGATCTATGAACAATTATGTGAAATAATATATAATGAAATGGAATCCAAACTTCCAAAGGTTAAGCCAAGAAGTAATAAGAAATGTTTTAAAAATAGCAAACCATATTGGACTGACCAATTAACAGAACTATGGAACGCGACACGGGAAACAGAAAATAATTTCATACGATATAAGGGGGAAAGACAAGTCAAATCTGCTCTTAGACGGGAATATATTGAAGCACGAGATTTATTTGATAAAACTCTCAGACGCACTGAACGCAACTACAAGAAATCATTTGCTAATGTTATAGAAGATATGAGTTCAACAAATCCAAATGAATCCTGGAATAAAATTCGAAAACTTGGCCCTAGAAATAAACACAACATACCAATGGAGGTTTTGGATGATGAAGGAAATGTTATATCCAACGAACGGGAAATCTTGGAACGATGGAGAGTCGATTTTGAAAATCTGTACAACGGGTGTGGAAGTACCGAATTTGATAACGTCCACTACAACGATTCAAAAAAAGATAAAGATATTAGAGAACGTCGGATGGAAGAAGAATTTTATCAGACGTGTAACGATGAAATTAATTATGATGTATTGTTTCAGGAAATTTCTGATATAGTGATGCGTGCAAAATCCAATTCCGCTTGTGGATTCGATGAAATTCCTTACCGTAACAGTGTTCTGAAATATCCAGTAGTCATCAATACAATATGTCGTCTTTTTCAACATATTTTCAACACAAGCATGATCCCCTCGGTGTGGAGGAAAGCAATAATATGCCCTATTCTTAAGGATCCCTCTGCAGACAAACGAGTCCCAATGAACTACCGTGGTGTGAGTCTGTTGCCATGTATTAGCAAACTGTACAGTTCCTTTATAAATAAAAGAATTATGAGTTATCTAGAGAATAACGATATTTTAGCAGATGAACAAAATGGTTTTAGAAAGGATAGATCGTGTGAAGATCATTTATTTACATTGAATAGTTTAGTCCAAAACAATAAAAATCTCTATGTTGCATTTATTGACCTCCAAAAATGTTTTGATCGATAGGGATATGATGCTTTACAAACTTTTGTTACATAACATAATGTTAAACAGGGAGATAATTTATCTCCTACCTTATTTTCAATTTTCATAAATGATCTGGTACAGGATATTAATAATCTTAATTTAGGCATAGAACTAGTTGATCGAAAATTGTCCATCTTATTATACGCAGATGATATCGCTTTAATAGCCAAGTCCCCAGAAGATTTACAAAGTATGTTAAATAAACTACATAGCTGGTGTAGACGTTGGAGAGTTCTTATAAACACCAATAAATCTAAGTGTGTACATTTTAATAAAACTAGGTCAAGGGCAGCCAATTTTGAATTTACTATTGGACTTAATAAGTTAGATACAGTTGAAGATTATAAGTATTTAGGTATAACATTTAAGCACACTGGTAATTTCATGAAAAATGCAGAAAATCTTGCTAAAGCAGGGGGACGTGCACTAGGGAAAATTATATCTTCGATTCATAGTAATAAAGATTTCAGGTTTAATGCTTATGAAAAACTATTTTACTCTTGTGTCATACCTGTTTTGGATTATGCATCCAGTGTCTGGGGTTACAAAAAATTCCAACCTATAGATAATATTCAGAACAGAGCTATTCGGTATTTTATTGGGGTTCACCGTTTTGCTCCTACATTGGGGGTTTATGGAGACACTGGATGGATTCCAAGTCAATATAGATGTTGGATAAATATAATCAGATATTGGAATAGAGTCTTATCCTTTGGCAATGATCGAATTACAAGAATTGTTTTTGAAGTTGATTACAATAAGTGTAGGAATAACTGGTGCAGTGATTTGAAAGATATATTACACCAACTAGAGCTGGATTACTATTTTGAGTCAAAGCTTATGGTAGATATAAATATGGGTCAATCAAAACTACACAACTATTACTCAAACCTTTGGAGCAATGAAATTTTAAGCATTCCAAAACTGCGGACTTATGTTAATTTTAAAACAAGGTTTGGTAGAGAAAATTATGTAGTACTTGATATGCCTAAATATTTACGTTCAATTTTAGCACAATTTAGATGTGGCATTTTACCTTTACGAATAGAAACCGGTAGATATCATGGTGAATCTGTTGAGAATCGAATTTGCACTTTTTGTTCTAGAAATAATGTGGAAGACGAAATTCATTTTTTACTGCATTGTCCTTTTTACTCTGAATATCGATCAAAACTTTTTGAAAACACTGGCATTAATCAAAGGGGGTGGTCAGATATGGATTTACTATGTTTACTTATCTCAAATTATCCTAGACAGGTTGCAAAATACTTGTATTTTTCATTTACGCGAAGACAGTCCTTTATGTTCAAAAAATAAAATAATATTTCAATGTCATTTTCATCTAACAATAATCTTTATAATAGACACTACCAATCTTAGCATACAAAATGCATATAAAATATATATATTTATTACAATTATGTTTATTTTTCATGCACTTTTTTGTTATTCTCTTAACGTTGTGCTCTTTATTTTCTTTATATATTGCATTTCAATTTTGTGTTTAAAGTGGCATATAGGCCCGATGGGCCGGGTGTTGATTGTTGTTTTATACAGTCTGTAAACAAATGAATTTAATTATGTACACATGTCACTATAAATAAATAAATTACTTACTTACTTACTTACTTACTTATACTCAGGCAACAGATAGCTAAAGACCATAGGACTCTGTTCTCTATTTTCTTTATCATGATTTTTCATAATTGTTTTACAAATTACTGATGCATTCTTTTAATTTAAAGTGATCATTGTTTTTGTTAAAAATGTACTTTCTCCAATAATTGTATACAATAGAAAATCACAGGGGGTGGTATTTTAAAACAATTTTTATAAAAACTGCTATCAATGACACTATCATTGTTTATTGTTAATAAATTTGTACTTAGTTTCTTTTTTATTTATATATATATAGAATATTTGGTTTTCCACAGATTTTTCTTTTATAATAATCTAATACTTTTTTTAATTTCAATAATTATCCCAAGGGTTTATTTTACAGACAGATGTTGCTACATGTACTTATAAAATGTCCACATATTGTAGACACACATGTTGATTTAACATATTTATTATATATTTTAGTATTTTTTAATTCCAATAATTATCCCAAGAGTTTAGATTTCATACAGATGTCACCACTTGTAAAACATCCACGTAATGTAACCACATATGTGGGTTTAACATATTTATAAATTTGTATGTGTTAATATATTGATATAAAGAATTGTAATTTCTTCTTGGCTCCATGTGTATGCACATGTGAATAAAGTAATCACCTAAAGCAATTGTGACACAAGATCTATACATTAAAAGTCATAAAGACTAACAGCATTATAAATTCAAGACATTGTTGAACAAGATGTGTAAGTGAAACACAAGCTTCCATATGACAGCTCACAGTGGTGAAGGTTAAAGTTTAAAACTTCAAGGTCAAGTGTTAAAAAAATAATATACATGCACTCAAAGAAAGGTCTTGTCATGGAAAATTCCTTGAAATATGAGATTCCTATCACTAATAATTCACAAATTATGGCCAAGGTTACTTTTTTCAGATAGGCCAAGGTCAGGACCATTGGTTCAGAATGGTTTGTCCTGGCACAAGTACCGGTATACAGTTGTGAAAAATAAATCCCTGAGAATGAAGTAGATATACCCTGTGATCAGATTCTAAAAATTAAAAACAAGAGCATATGACTTTTTATTGAAGATTTTCTATTATAATAATATTATGTAGACTGTAATTTGTACAACTGTATACCTGCTGTTCTGATATGTTCTACAAAGGTGTATATCCAGAAAGGTGTATTAGTTTAAATAATACTGAGTGCATAGTATGTAGCAATCCCCAATCCTCATTTTCATCTTCATCATTTGATATTTTTTATAGGCAAATTCAAATGATGTGCACTTTCTGATTGGGTAAAAAATGTTTTTAGATATTTATCATGGAGTGAAAATACCAGATTATTTTAAAAGTAGCATTTACAAAACAGGTTCAGTTTTGAACTTAGAACAATAAAGATTTTATTATTTGTTTTTAATGGCTTGTTTGAAATTTTCATGCTGAAAAATAACATTAATTTTAATTATATACTTTTATACTTTCAGGAGGAACTGGAGAAATTTAAAGAGGAATACATATTGCCAGAGATTTATAAAGGAGAGAAAAATGATAAAGTGTATCCTTGTTTTTTAATTAAATCTGAAATCATCTTTTACAGATTTTCATCAATGTTACACAGTGTATGCTTGAGGCCTTTTGAAGGTTTACAATTAACTGGTATTGGGCCCCATTTACAATTTGAAAAAGGTTTTCCTAAGAAATTTATTAGTTTTGGAATACTCAGTATCTCCTTAAGTATAGAAAAAAAGTTTGATATATATTCTAAATATATTCTAAATATATTCTAAATATAATTGCTTCTAATGTTTCTGCATATTGTGAAAGAGAAATTTGATTGAAAACTAATTAGAATAATCAAATATGGGGAGTTTTGATCTATTATGATTTTTCCAAAATTTCAAAAGAGTTTCTGGCCCTATAGTCCCCAAAATTGGTGTCCTCTTTAGTACAAAGATTACAAAATAGTCAACATTCAATTGAGAGGTAAAAATAACACACAAAATGACGTTAAAAAAATAGTTTGTGGACATAATGCAGTGAGAACAAAATAGTCTGTTGACATAATACAGTGAATATAATTGTTTTTCTCCTGACTTTGGTGAAGTATGTGGGATTGGCTGAAGACTCTACACATGCACAGCTTTGATGTGGAAAGTAACAACCGAAGACACAGGAACCAGGTGGGCCATTAACATTGATATCAGTGTAGTGATGAAAAGTCACAAATCCTATCTATTAAGCAAACTTCGCAATGTGTATTTTTAAAAAATAAAAAAGAAATTCAGATTATTTTTAAAAATCTCGGAAAAACCGATGCATCATACATGTCTTGTAAATGTTAAATTTTAAAATAGGATCCAGATTCCTTAAGCAGTACTAATGACGCAGACAGTTTACTTAAAAAAGAAGTGACAAATACAGTCAAAACTGAAATGTCAGGAGAGGATCAGAAAATTGTGGTAGATGAAAACACTGAACATTGTGAAGAACCAAACTCACAGAACCCTACAGAGAAAGACTCAGATGTTGACATTAAAATGGAACAGGATAATGACTCAGAAGTTGACATTAAAAAGGAACAGGATAATGACTCAGAAGTTGACATTAAAATGGAACAGGATAATGACTCAGAAGTTGACGTTAAAAAGGAACAGGAGAATGACTCAGAAGTTGACATTAAAAAGGAACAGGGCGTGGAACCAACAGAAGGAGACAAAATAGTGTTACAGTAGCTTTCAATGCTAATAAAAGTTTTACAAATATACGGTTCTTCATTTTGATCTTTTAAACTTTCTCCTTGTATTTACTATTTTGTAGAAGTCATATACGATATAACAGCCTTGGTAGCAAATACAACCTGACAAAAGTGTGTTGACTGACTTGATGCATACTTTATAGGCCTCTGTTTTTATACTGCTTATAACTACATAATGTTCCCTTTATTTGATCAATAAAGAAGGGAATGCTTACTCCTCCTAAGTACCTGATCCCAACTCTGAATCTACAGGGGTGTAGGTTTTTAGCTCAAGTGAGCTTTTCTGATCACATTTTATCCGTTGTCCGTCCGTCTGTCTAGCTGTTCTTACGAGAGGTACATTGTGGGGTAAAATTAACGTATTTTCCAGCAGTGTGGGGTTTTTTGGGTACTGTGGGGTTAACCCCATAATGAAGAGGTCTAATTACGTTCAAAATTACTCTATGAGGTCGAAAAACCTAAAATTAGATTTAACCTCACAAAGACTTTGTCCAAATTTTGGACATGTCCTTAGCCCAAAATGCTCAGACATTCAGAAATCTGCTGTTTAGAGGAGTTCGGTAATTGAATCGAGGAGTTCCGAATACCTGAGCATGCGCATATATTTAAAACTAACTGCGCATGCGCAGAATACGGAAGTAGCTGTGTTTGGACATTTTGTATTAGCAGTGAGGAAATTCGGAAACACAAAAAGCAAATGCAGTAAGTCTTACTATTTTGTTGCACCACATTGAAAAAAAGCTTTGTAAGTTGTTTGATATGATTCATACGTACATTATGCAGTTGTAGAATTTATTTAAAGTCAAGGAAAGGACACTTGTAGTCCACATAAACACATACCGATTGAAAACGGGCTTTTGTGAAAAAAATTATAATGAATGCACTGATAGTTCTTTTTTTAATCAGAGGTCTGCAATGAAAATCGACCGATACCCGGGGGTCGGGCAAGTGGTTTTCTGCAAGAGGGTCGCCCCGTTGGCCAGTAAAAAAAGATAATATTATTTATACACGTGCAATACATGCAAAGCACACCTGGTACGAATTTTCACTCGTTTTTTGCAACAAAAATCCAAACCATTTAAATTTTCCATATAACATGCTCCAACTGTCAATAAATCTCCATAATTTAATCCGTGTTGGAGTACTACTTGGCTTATTTACTTCAAAAAACGATCGTGTTTTTTTCTTAATTCGAATTTTCTCTATATCTATGGTAATTACATGCAGATATCTCATAACATAAATACATGTGATTCTTCCGATGGGAGACAAAATCTCTGGATTTTTCACGCCTCTTCCGCCCCTTCCGATTAATTTTTAAATCATCCGTGTTTAAATTTTTTTCAAATTGAATATTTTTGGCTTTAATTTTATCCTGTTTCGTAGTATAATTGCTCTCTCTCTCTCTCTCTCTCTCTCTCTCTCTCTCAATTCATTCTAGATACGTACCAATTGTTTATCTACTCTTCACACATTTGTTTACATGTACTTGTAATCGTACCTTAATCTATAGAGAAAAAATCAGAATGGAAAAATGGAATTAATGTCACTGCAATAAATTTTCGCAGCAAGTAGGAATCGTAGGAATCAACATGGGGTTGTATAATTAGGTTGTAAAATTTAGTGGTATATCAATTTGATAAATGACAATCAATGTTTATAAATGAGTGTAGGACATTTTAATCAGTTGTTAAAATACCCAATATGTCACATTGCTTACACAGTCGCTTGTGTAATTATGTGCCGGATAAAAAAATTCACCTATTAAAGAAATTAAACAAATTACCTTTAGATACGTATATATAACTCTCTTTGTGTTAATGGAAAAAATATAATTGTCCTGTAAGATCAATTTGTACTTATTTTTCAAGATCGACCATTGAAAATTTAAAAGAATTAAATCACAATTAATAGTTTTTCTATAGCTAAACTTAAAGAAATTCAAGCTTAAAGCTTCATTTTGTAATTTACAATATTAATTCATCATTACTTTGAATATTTACAGTGAGAGTATGTAACTTAGCTAATACAGGTCTATCAGTATTTTCACACCTGTTAGATTTTGATTCCGTGTAGAAGCTCTAATTGCAACTCTTGTCAAAACAAATGATTTGTATAGCATGATTATCTCGTGAATTTCACTATCAGGAGACGATCGATAGGGATTAGTTACGCTCTGGTGCACTTGACACCTGTGTTGTAGTAGAATGATTTTAAACTGCGTTAATACAAATCTTTGGTCAATTGAATAATTTTTTGTGTGTGTCTGTATGTTAGATAGAAATTCTGACAGCTTTATAAAAATAATATTAAAAATTTACCAGACTTTAAAAACTTCAGCAAAGTAGTTGATCGAGGATTAATTGAAAGGGGGGGGGGGGTTACACTGCTGATCATTACCTGAACATATTATAGTGAAGTTTTTAAATGAATTTTATTGACACTTACTGAAATAAATTTTCATACTTTATTTAATTCACCATTAAACTGTCTTTTAATTAAAGCTTTTATATTTTTTCTTATTAAAAAAATAGATAGTAGTAAGGCACATGTATTTCTTCTTGAATGATTTGAATGTTACAAAAGAACACTAACAGTTCCCGAAACTAGTCAAAAATATGTCGGACAATTGTCTTGTAAATATTCAAAATTCACCGGACAGTTGTAAAATTTACCGGACATTAATTTTTTGTATGTAAATTTAACATATTATAGGATTGGAAATTGTAACGATATAATAAATGATATGTGTAAATAAAAAGATGGCAGATTTAAAAAAAAAAATATTGAAATATTTTGTATATGGCCTTTGTATGCAGGATTTGACGTTGCCGAAGGCGTGTGATGACCAACGCTTAATTCATGTATAAATTTATTATGTCCTTTCTGACAGATTTTTAAAATGTTTTTAAAAATAAAATCTGCAACATGACAACTCTTGGTTGATTGTTTTGAAAATATGTTGTTTTCCAGGCTTTTTTCTTTTGGATTTTTGTATTTTATGTGCCAGGAAAAATATTACGTAAAATATCAAACTCGTTTTAAAAAGCCTGGTAAAACGTCCGATATTTCTGACTAGTTAAAATTTATTATACAACCTCCATACAGTTAAAAATACTAATGATATAAAGATATGCAAATTTATCATGAAAATGATGATTTTAAGTGAATTTGTTGTCGTTTTACTACATTCAAGTCAATCCGCTATTTTTAGAAAGGGGGAAAAACGCGCTTGTATTTTAAATGCTATCAAATACATTTTAAAAAATCCAGAAGTTGGTATAATATTATCATGCTAATAGATTAAATTATATAGAAAATAATAAATGGTAACAAATTGTCTGTAATCAAGCAGAAATAGCAGGCACTCTTGCAACCCTGCAAATTCGTCCTTCAAAACGAAAGTAGATTGTCACATTTTTTTTTACTGTCAGAACTACAGAGTGCATATATTTATCATGGAAAATATTTGTTGACAGGGTTTTTAAAACTGTTTTTCCTCCCAGACTTATGGAAATTATTATTTTAATATGTAGCTTTTTATAGTAGACAATCAACGTCTACATTTTATTTAAACAAGATCTGGCGATGCCCTGACGTTTTTTTTTTTTTCATTCCTTTAGTTTTGCATTTGTTTATTGTCAGGACAATTGAATTAAATGATTTTGTTAAGATTATATGTAAAGGTTATACAGTCTGTAAAAAAAAAAAAACCATCGGACATTTTGACCAATAAAATTAAGATTTTACCGGTCCCATTCAAAGTTCACCTGGGATCCCCGGTGGACCGGTGCGTTTCTGGAACTCTGAACACTTATGAACAAAACCTTAAAAATTTAATTTGGAATTCTTTAATTTCATATTTTTTAAATAGGCATGGATTAATATATATATACACACATACAAAGGTTTTGTGAAATTGACATGTTTAATTAAATCAACTGTAGTGGTTATTGCTGTTTATTTATTGACTGACTGGCTACTTCTTGGGCAAACTGGAATAAGAGGCCACCTGTCTTAAGTGGCTAGTTTCTGGACTTCCCAAAGCTTAAAACAAGTTTGACTGTACTTTTTCACCTTTTACCAATATAAGAAAGTAGTTCACAGTACATGACAACTATGCTTTAAATAAATTTCGATGAATTTTAATTAGTAACTCGGAATTTTTGTATGTGATATAAATAAACATTTGCTTCTGTATTCCTTTGTAGAGTTCAGATACTGAAAGTGAACATCAGTGGAACTTTGATGATCTAGGCCGCTCTATTTTTGCAGCAACACCAGCATGCGTCGGACATTCATAAAGTTGAAAGAACAAACCTATGACTTGAACACACAATTTGTGATCTGAATATAGTTCACAAATTTAAGGAAAGCAACTATCAAAGACATCCAGATTGATGGTTAGTACATGTTATAAGTGCCCATAAAATCAAGACAACAATATTATTTTACAATAAATTAAAACATAACCTGTTAAAAAAAAATTGAACATTATCATTTATAAATATATTTTACTGTATTTTTTTTTGACAGGTATACATGAAGTATGAATGAAAGACTTTTCAGAAGAACAAGCACAATCCCGATTCATTCTTGCCATTGTCTTCTCCAGACGGTGACATTTAGGACCTGACTTACTTTTCAGAAAAAGAAGATGAATCGATTTTTGATAGTTGATCTTAAAAAGCTAACATTTTCAGGGGTCGTGGATTGAATGACATTTTCTTGCAATCTCCCATGCAGAGTTGTCGTTCGTTCCTCTCTCAGACACCTCTGCAATGGGCTCACGTCAAGATTTTTGACATAACGTATAAAACTTGATATTTGAAGAGTTGTTTCAATTCAAATCAATAGTTCTGGATTGATTTAGTAAATATCTATCTAAAAATTCAGACATAAACATAGAAATTGAATTGTAATGAATTAAAACAAATGCACTATTTCTCGTGTTTAAAACTGTGTATACGCGAGCCAACGACAGAGGTGAATGTATGAGCCGATGGTAGAGAGTGATTTTCTTGATGGGCAACTAGTTTCAAGTATGTGGATGTCTATTCTCAAGTTACTGCAAACCTTAAATTAACTTCTTGATTATTAGTTAAATGTGAGACCGTTTCTTACTTGAAGTAATCATTTTTTGAATTGAGCTATGTAATCTCTGATTACTTATGTTTATGAGTAGTGTTCAGCTTTAAGACAAAAGGATCTTTTATGAACATTGCATTCGTCATGGTGAATTTCTATACATTAAGTAACAGTCATAGTTTTCGTCTTTTTTAATTAGCGATCTCATTTTAGATGTGAGAAATAATTATTAAACTGAAATGTACATTTATGTTGTTTGATTTTTATTTTTTTGAAAATTGTAAATCAATTGCATGTTGTTGTTTTTTTTTTCATTTTATTTTAGGGGATGGGAGTGGGGGTGCAGCTGTAAGTTTGAGTATATTTTCCAAAAGGATGTACATCGTTATTTTTGTTTAAATATCAATTTTAAAATGCAAAATGATGAGATATTAGACTACACATTTTTTCTTAAAACTTCATTTAAATTAATATATTTTGTTTAAAATAAGTAGCAACACCATGCAAGTTTTAGAGTTATTTGACAACTCACTATATACTTGTTTTTTTTTTACATTAATTTATGAAGATTGTCTCAAATTTTGAGGGTTTTTTTCTGTGTTTTACATTTATTGACATGTTTCTTATCTGTGTTCATCTTGTCGAGTAAATGAAAAGTTTGATTAAATTTTTTTTTAAAAATCAGGATCATCTCTTTTATTTCTTATTATTAATTCACAATGAAATTATGTATGCTTTTGATGCATAATGTACACTTCAAATTCATGCACCAGCAGATTCAAAGGAAAAATTCTCGTTAGAAATAAGCAGTTAAGATAAAGAGATTATCCAATGAAAAATAGTTTGAAAAATATTTAAAACAAATTTTCAAGTATGTTATCAAAATAGGAAAAAGTATTATGAATATAGTTTGGTATTTTTAATAGTAAAAAAAAGAGGATATGACGTACTGGCAATTGCATCATCTCACTCAGGGTCTTTCCGTCAGAGTTCGGAAAAACAACCTCGAATGTATTAACATCACCTGATGTTAAAGGTTATGCTTTTCTTGTTTTTTTTTCAAATATAGGATAGAGGAAGTAAGAAGTCCCTTTTATAGTAAGTTTTATGTAATATCATAGCATTGAATAAAATTAAACTCCATATTCCACAGATAAAAGGTCTTCATGCATTTATTTCGAAGATCATGAAAAGGGGGGGTTGTTGCCATGGCGTCTAACTAATACATTCGAGGTCATTTGTCAGCTAGTCAGAAAGGCTCGAGAAGTTGTGATTGAACATAGTGGGGGTTCTTGTTCTTTTATTACCAGTCCCTGGTAGAGTTTTTTGATATTAGAACATACTGGGGTTTTCAAACACTTAAATTCATATGGTTACTGGTATCTGTTACATGAGAATACAGCGGGGTTGTTTGTTTAACACTCTGAGGTTACTAAGATGTCTAATATTTTCTTTCAGAACATATTGTGGTTCTTGTCTAACACTTTGTGGGGTTAATGTTATCTTTTATCTATATAAGAACATAATGGGGTTGTTACACATTATGGGGTTAGTGTTGTCTATTATCTTTATAAGAGTACTTAGTGGGGTTGTTGTCCTAACACTTTATGGGGTTAGTGTTGTCTATTATCTTTATGAGAGTACATAGTGGGGTTGCTGTCCAAACACTTTATGGGGTTAGTGTTGTCTTTTATCTTAATAACAGTACATAGTGGGATTACTGACCAAACACTTTATGGGGTTAGTGTTGTCTATTATCTTTATGAGAGTACATAGTGGGGTTGCTGTCCAAACACTTTATGGGGTTTATGTTGTCTATTATCTTTATGAAAGTACATAGTGGGGTTGCTGTCCAAACACTTTATGGGGTTAGTGTTGTCTCTTATCTTTATGAGAGTACATAGTGGGGTTGCTGTCCAAACACTTTATGGGGTTAGTGTTGTCTATTATCTTTATGAAAGTACATAGTGGGGTTGCTGTCCAAACACTTTATGGGGTAAGTGTTGTGTATTATCTTTATGAGAGTACATAGTGGGGTTGCTGTCCAAACACTTTATGGGGTTAGTGTTGTCTATTATCTTTATGAGAGTACATAGTGGGGTTGCTGTCCAAACACTTTATGGGGTTAGTGTTGTCTATTATCTTTATGAGAGTACATAGTGGGGTTGCTGTCCAAACACTTTATGGGGTTAGTGTTGTCTATTATCTTTATGAGAGTACATAGTGGGGTTGTTGTCCAAACACTTTATGGGGTTAGTGTTGTCTATTATCTTTATGAGTGTACATAGTGGGGTTGCTGTCCAAACACTTAATGGGGTTAGTGTTGTCTATTATCTATATAAGAACATAGTGGGGTTGCTGTCCAAACACTTTAAGGGGTTAGTGTTGTCTATTATCTTTATGCGAGTACATAGTGGGGTGGTTGTCCGAACTCTTTATGGGGTAAGTGTTGTCTATTATCTTTATGATAGTACATAGTGGGGTTGCTGTCCAAACACTTTATGGGGTTAGTGTTGTCTATTATCTTTATGAGAGTACATAGTGGGGTTGCTGTCCAAACACTTTATGGGGTTAGTGTTGTCTATTATCTTTATAAGAATACATAGTGGGGTTGTTGTCCAAACACTTTATGGGGTTAGTGTTGTCTATTATCTTTATAAGAGTACACACTGGGGTTGTTTGTCTTATAATTTATGGGGTTAGTGTTGTCTGTTATTTCTATATAGCATAGTGGGGTTGTTTGTTTAACACTCTCTGGAATATTCTTGTCTATCATCTTTATGTGAAAACATGATGGGTTAATTTACTTTGATGCAACAGTTATCCTCAAATAAAAACATTTTTTTGCATTGTTATTGCTAGGCAGTAGTTGAAAAATGTTATTGCTATATCCGTTCTAAGTTCTTCAGATAAACAGTAACAATTTTAAGTACTTATAATTAGTTGCCCGTAAAGTTGACTTGATATTAAATAATTTATTTTTAACCCCACAAATATAGATCTTTAACCCCACAAATATAGATCTTTAACCCCACAAATATAGACCTTTAACCCCACAATATACCATTTGTTTGAATTCCTAATGATACCTCTCAAGTCACCACTGTACTATTAATAACCCCACAAAGCAAAATTATAACCCCGCACCTTCCGTAAAATGCACAATGTACCTCTCAACTGTATAGCTGTCCATCCGTCTGTCCGTCTGTAAAATTTTCACATTTTTGACTTTTTCTCAAGAACCACTGGGCCAATTATAACCAAATTTGGTACAAAGTATCCTTGAGTGAAGGGGAATTTAAATTGTAAAAATGAGGGCCAGGTCCTCTCACAAGGGGAGATAATCAAGAAAAAACAAAAATACGGTGGGGTCATTAAAAAATCTTCTTCTCAAGAACCACTGGGCCAGAAAAGCTGAAACTTATGAGGAAGCATCCAGGGGTAGTGCAGATTCTAAATTCTTCAAATCATGACCCCCTGGGGTTGGGTGGGGCCACAACAGGAAATCAAAGTTTTACATAGAAATATATAGGAAAAGTCTTTTAAAGTCTTCTACTCAAGAACCACTGGGCCAGAAAAGCTGAAACTTATGTGGAAGCATCCAAGGATAGTGTAGATTCTGAATTGTTCAAATTTGACCTGTGGGGTAAGATGGGGTCACAAAAGGTATTACATGTAAAATGGGGAAATCTGGTTAAGAATAGCATGATCAAAGCTTCTCAGGTGAGTGATGTGGCCCATGGGCCTCTTGTATGTCCTTGTCACAGATTTGTATTTTAAGTAGATTTTTATTTAGATTGATCATTTTCCTTTAACTTCATCAAAATGAACAAAAGGGACAAAATTAACAATACATTAAAAAACAAGAGGCCCATGGGCCTTATAGGTCACCTGAGCATTATGCAACAACTTTCCAGTGATTAAATTTGATTCATGTTTTAAGCCAGATGCTATGACATTCACAATTTTGAAAGAGGCACCATTGATCATCATAACTATACACTTAGCGGTTGCTTAGTTTGGTTACTTAATACCCATAGGCAGGGTAGGGGAACAAAAAATGCATTTCAGCTAATCAGTAACTTTCAGCAATAATCAGTAGTGTCCCTACCACGCATGAACCCCTGACCCTTAGGCCTAGATCCACACATTGCACAATTTTTGAAAAGGCATCCTTGCTTTTCAAAATTATTTGATTAATACCAAGGAGCAGATTTCAAACAATTCATTCATTTTCAGTATATAAGTACAGCTCCCCCTCCATGGTACCCCTGACCCTGGGGCCTTGAAATTCACAATTCTGGAAGATTAGGGCCCTTGCTCATCATAACTATATAGGTAGTTCATCTGCTCAATACCTAGGAGCAGAGAAGAAGATTTTCAAAGAATTCATGTATTTTCACTATATAATCAATAGAGCCCCCCCTTCACAATTTTGGTAAGGCACTCTTGCTCATTATAACTATGCATTTAGTTTCTTGATTTAATACCTAGGAGCAGAGAAGAAGATTTTCAAAGAATTCATGTATTTTCACTATATTATAATCAATAGAGCCCCGCCCTAACACCTGAACCCCTGACCCTGGGGCCATAAAATT